GTCTGTTGATGTTAGGGGCATAAGTGGACAGAAATAAATAAAATAAAATAAGAAATTAGTGAAGGAAATCAAACAGCAGAAAGAAGAAAATAACATAATTTAACAGAAACAAGACAGACATTATTCTTAAAGACTAATTATTTTTAATTACAGATGGGGAAATGGGAGGGGGTGGGGAGGGGAGGGGGTGAATTGCAGAAGTTTAACATGAATTAGGTGCAATAAAGCAATCATTTAAAAAGAAATAGATACAAGTTTATAAAACATCTAGAAATGACAAAATCTTGTTGGCAACTTAAGATGCAGGATACAAGCACACAGAAAGCTGAAAAACAGATTTCAGAATTTCAGGTGTCTATTTTGAAATAAACAGCTGTACTTTTTTAATTTCAAAGAAATAAATACAGGTTTCTGACACCTCTATGTCAACAACATCATAATTGTGAGTTTGCAAACAGAATATAAACAAATATAAAGCTGAGAAACAGATTTAAATGTGTATTTTAAAATTAAACACTCACAATTTAAAGAAATAGATATATGTTTTGACATTTCTGGAATTGACAGTAACTGTGGTGAATTTAGAAGTAGTATGCGAGCAAATATAAAGCTTAAATACAGATTTCAGTGGGTATTTTAAAAATCTGTCAAATTGAAAAAGATTTAGATACAAGTTTCAGACACTTTTAGGAGTAACCACTGCACCACTGTGAAAGAAAGAAGGAAAACAAATTGCAGACATAAAGCTTACACTTCCATATCATATGAAATGCTTGAGAAAATACCACAGAAAAAAATTTATTATTATTAAAAATATAATAACTTTCCTAGCAAACTAGAACAGATATCTACAGTTCTACATGGAATGAAATATATATGGTATTCATTAGAAAATACTACAATAAATATACAAATAATGTAGTATGTATTAAAATATACGTTAACTTTTCTAGTAAACTAGAAAAAGTATCCTAATCTTATACATATGCTGAGTTGGAGGAGGGGAAAAAAAGCATGATGTATAATTAAAGAGATGGCTTTGAGATTCTGGCATCTGTCTCTGCTTCATGCAGACCTGGTTCATTTCATGGCCTTTATTGTGTAAATTGTTTACATAAAACAGAGAAGCATAAAAAACTTTCTTCTGAACCTAGGGATTAGCTGTAGCTAAATACGAAACAATACGAGTCATTTTCATTAGCAGACTAGTTAAAGAACTAATAAGATCAACATGTAACCAGAAATAGGTAGTAGTTATTATTCTTCCCAAGACATTTCCTGGTACATATATTAACTCTCTGAGTCCCAGCGAACGCATCACGCACTAATCTGTTACAGCCGCGCGGCTCAATCGACGTGTGACAAGTGAAAATTGTTAATCTACCACTGCCTGGTTATAAACCGTGGACCACTAAATTTTAACTTCCTTTCGAGTTCTTTGTGTCTGATATCTGGCGTTCTCATTTAGAAACGCGGTTTGAAAGTAGGAAATATAGTATATTTGCCAAATTTGCCGAGCTACTAAGTGTTTGTTTAAAAAGAATATGGCCGCCAAGCAGTATTCTACATGCATGCCAACATAATTTACGGCTTTAGAAGCCTCAAATTTAAATAAAGTATATGTTTATTCAATTTATCAGAAGTTAGATAGATAACGTTGCGAATTGGTGTGTTTCAGTCATTTATAGAGTCAAACTTTGATGAGGGATATGTCTAATGTGTACCTCACGCGAATGTACAACAATAGCAAAGTCAGCTGGCACAAATAGAATAAACATTAGTGAAAAGACGATTTTCTTCAGTGTCAGTTGTTTCTAGTGCTATTCCCCTTATTATTTAGGAACATAGCTACAAAATTACTGGCAAATTGAGTGTTATATAAATATTTTGGGAGTCAGTTTTCTTTAACAAATAATGGTGCTTTGGAACCAAATCTAATGTATAGATTGAGTTTATATTTTAATTATACATTACTAAGTGGTTCATGTTCATTTGTGATTCATTTTGGATATATTTTAACCAGTTTTCCTTGAGTGCTATGGTGGTAAGTGAACATTTTAAAATTTCATTTTACTAGTATTTGTGAACATACTGTCTGTTTATTTACTGATTTTTAATTACTAACTCTAACGCAATTATTTGTTGTAGCTGTTTTCTAAAATTATTCCTCAACAATCCCTGATTGCTTTGATGTATAATATGTGTATGTTGGGCGGCCATTGAATTAGTATGGTCTGTTTTAATGTGTTACACTTGCGATAAAAAAAAAATTGCATTACCACCCCTTGGGCCTCTGATGCTAAACCTCCTAGGACTCAAAGAGTTAAGCTGAGTTGACATGGCAACCAAGGTCATTTTTTTTTAATACGACTCAATCCAGAATCAAACCAATAACTTTTAATCCCTTTGCACAGATTCACCAGTAATCCAGCATTGTTGTTCATTTCAAATATCCTAGAAAGCTGTTGAACCGGCATGGCTGCACTGGCCTGTCCCTAGCAAGCCTAGTTAACAGCATTCATTCTGTTTGTGCCTGTGCAGTTTTTAGGAGGACTGGATAAGTTTGTTTTTAATTTTAAAAGAAATAAAAGCATTTAGGGTCTTTTTAATTGTGAAAAAAAAATGTGTGTTTTTAGGTCATTATTACTACATATTTTGCCTTTAGTCTTAGTTTTTCTGTAGTATTGGGGCAATAGAGTCATGGTAAGAGCTCGAATATAAATTTTTTTTTTTTTTGGTCCAAAAGAGTGCATGCCATTTAATGCTTTACTTTATTCATGTTTACTGATAACTCCAATTCATATTTTGTTTAGAAAGTTTCAAAAATGTATCTAAATAAATTTTGTTTAAATGTATTAATGACCTGTGTATAATGTTTCTTTTTAATGACTTGTTTCTGCATGCAACTCCTGTTTTCATAGCTTTTATACCAATGGTTTCTATAGCAAACGGGTTACAACTAAAAATGTATCCCCTGCAATAAAAAACTTAAAAAACTACTTTCAAAGATAATGGCATAATTGTTTTACTGACTAAATCATTGAAAAGATTCTTCATAAAACATGTAACAAATAAAAGACTATAAATTGTGTAACACACACACATACAAGATGCACTTACTTGTGTCTGTGTTGCTTGAGTGTGATTATTGCTTGCTTTATAACTGGGCTCTCCTAAATAAACAGCATAAAGCATTCAAGTGAATTGAACAATAACATCTTAGTAAGTAAAAAAAAAAAAAATTAAACTTATCTCTAAATTACAAGGGCCATTAACCTTACCAAAGATTCAAACCAGGGTCTCCTGAAAAAGCCTGACTACTCAGGCAGCCAATCCTTGCTGAAATTTTAACTCTTACATTGAATCAGTGCTGCTATGGAGCGGATTTGAATTATGGACAATAACTAAGTCAACTGACTTCCAGTCTAATAATGGAGGAATAGGTATGACTGAATTTTGAGCTTTGAAGTTACTTTTGCTTCTGACACGGCATTGTTAATGCAGGCCTGAGCTTCTGAATTCAATGCTTTGTGCAGCCCTGTCAGCTGTGTTTGTTTTTTCTTCACATGGAATGCCTTTCATTTGTGCAGCGGTTGAGTGCCCGACCACTTCCATCAATGACAAACTGCATTTCTGGTAGCCACTGTTGGCTTTGGCACCTCTAGGAACTGCCATATACATTTACTGTGTGCGCATATTTCTGAACTGTGCCGGGACTAATTTTACTAATTGTTTGTTCCACCAGTTTTTCAAATGGGACAGTGAGAGATATTTTATTTGATTTTCACTGGCACAGGAACGGAGCAAGTATGGGATGACCCGATCGCAGTGAAGTTGAAACCTAGACTAAGACTAAGATAATTACTGAGTCAAGTCAAAAACTAACATCACAGAACTTGGGACATTCTTGCTCATGTTCTATCCTCATCTTCAGCTGCCAGCTAAACTTTCCAATTCCAATGCTACCAATAGCAGTTTGATTATATGTTTATCTTGCCTTTCCCCTGATATACAATTACTAAGAAACTACAGTCATTCCTGAACTCTCAAGATCCTGAGGGAGTTTAGAGTAGCAATTCTAAACTGGTGCATATACTACTTCCTGAGGGGCAAAAAATACAACACTTGTAGAAAACAAATATGTTGTCACATTTCGTCCCACACTAAACATAAGAAGTAAAAAAAAACATTATAACACGCTGTTTGGTACACATGAATAATATCCAGTCATGCACTGGAGGTTGAGTGGGACAGAAAGATTTAATGAGTGCCTGTACAAAAAATAAAAAATAGAAACAAATGACAGAATCACTAATACAGAGCTTACAAAGCATAGCAAAGAAACAGAAGATCCTGCTGACATATATATATATATATATATATGCAACAGAAAAGTTTCATAAAGTCTTACAAGGTTGTGTCTTGTTTAAATAAAGTTTAAAAACTGTTTAATTTTACAAATTTATTTTTATTTCCCTGAGTTCCCCATGTGGGTTCCAGGACCCCTTTGTGGGGGAAACAAGAATAGACCCACTGCCTCCCCAACAAAACAACAACAAAAAAAGTTAGTTGTGTATCCTTTACAGGACGTTGCAGAACCAACCCCATCATTTTTTGGCTGCTGTGGTTTTTCTAGGAACATTTTATCTTCAGTAGTTTGCCATTGCTTTCTGAAAGGTTAGCTCTTGGTACCACTATTGAAACCAACGAAAGACACACCGGCACTGACCTCCCCAAAAAGCATGTCATAAAAGTTATCTCAATGGAGGCTTCCTTCAAAGTTAGCGTGCATGTGCCTGAGAAGCAAGGAACCAACAATCTGCATACAAGTAAGTCAGAACTGTAAAATGGATGTACATGCAACACTCAGGTTCTGGAACAAGACTACTGTCCAGAGGTGGACGAACAACCAGAACTTTCCACCAGAGTTTACAGTCAGTGAACGCAAAGAAGAAGAGGAAGATTTCCCTGAGTAGTGAAAAAATATAACATTATTTTACCTTTCAGTTTTTCATTCAGTCTGTCCAATGACTCCAACAGTTTCTGTTCTTCAATTGATAAAGCTGAATGTCCATCTGTATAAAGTAAGGTATAATATACATTAACAGGCAATACTGGTGACACTAAATCAATAGTCAAATTATGCAGAGAAAAAATACACCCAACAAAATGTTTAATCCTGTAAGGACATGATACTTGTGTTTCAAATTATTGTTAAAGTTTAGCAGCCAGTTATTTCACAATTTTGCTATCAAAACTATATTTATGTCACAAAGATATAATTTTTTTAAACTACAGTCAGTTGCAAACAAAAATAAAATACAAAGTTTGGTCAAAGTAAACAAATGTGAAAATTGACTTCCTGTAAACAACTATAGAAAATACTGGCTTCCAAGCACTAACATTTTATCTTTCAAGAATTACCAAAGCATCTATCAGGTAGGGAGAAATCTTCTATTGCCTTTGGTCCAAACCATCAGGTGTTGGTAATCATGGCTGTCAACAGACTTGAGTCTTGTGCACATTTCTAATACAGATGTTCCCCGATGCCATGTTGCCAAACTGTCTACATCTACTCTCTTCATCTGCTATGCTTCTCTTCTTCTTTTTCTTGTTTCCTACTGTTTAGAAGAGAAGAGTTATATGTAGTTTCCTGTCTTTTTCTAGTTGCGTTGCTTATGGTAATGTCATTATGAGCGCCTCTGTAGTTTCTCTTTTACTCCCTCCACACCCATCACTTTCTTGGTCAGCCTCTTGCCCTGTAGCCTGCTGTTCTCATGTAGTACGCTCTAGCTGCTGGTTCATTTTGATCCATTTTGACCAGATGACCAAACCATTTCAATCTTTGATGTTCTATGAAATCATTTGCCGGTACTGAGCCTACTGTTGTTCTTATTTCTTCATTGGTTAGTCTGTCTACTCCTCTTTTTCCTGCCGCATTTCTTACACATTTCATCTCACATGTTGCAATTTTGTGTTTATATTTTTCTAGGGAAAAAACTTCCCCTTCCCTTCAACTTTCAACTTTTTACAATGCTATCTAGTTTTCTCTATCTCATAGTTAGTTAATTAATCAATAGTTTATCTTAACTGCACATCAGACAAGCATATAAGCGCTCGGATCCCATCTTCAGTATATCCCTCAGGGTGTGGTGACGATAACACCAGTTCTGTGTTGATTTACTATTCTTTTTTGGCTAGCTGTATAGTGTTCATGTTTGGCTACACCTATTTTGATCTGAAGTTCTTGTAGTCTTTTTGAGTGTTGCCGATTCAATGTCGTCTCTTGGATTATCTACTTGTCCTGCCTCCTTGAGAGTACTGAGAATGTCAGCCCAGTCCGTTGCTTTTCCTGTACCTACCATGGCCCTCCAGTAAGCCAATCTGCTCATTCATTCCATTTTACCCCATAGTGTCCTAGAAAAAAACCAGAACTAATTCCTACTTTGAATCCATCTTGTCTCTATCTTCTTAAGCATGCTTATAGAATCACTTAAAAAGCATGCATGGGAAAAGTTCTGTGTCTTTAGCTACATCATTGCTTTTGTTACCGCCATCACCTCCATAGTCAGACTACTTGTAGTCAAGGCAAAAGCCCCTCTAAAGTTTTCCCTTAAACCAGAATCGTGAAAACCTATGAACTTTGTACTTTTTGAATGATGGATCTGTCAGTGCAAATAACGGCAACTCCATCAGCAGAATTTTCAAGAATTACGGCTTCAGCTTCCGCCTCAACCACCAACGAGCCGTGATGTTTGCAATCTCTATCCAGTTTTATGCAGACTAAAAAGAAATGTACACCCCTCTACCGTCACTCGTACCCATCCCTGGCCAGGTTCTGTCCTCAATTGAACAAACTCACTGTGCAATGGATGGTGTGTATCAGCACTGAAACGCAGATACACACGTGCTCAGCAGATCACTGTTCTCACTTCCATGGTTGGAAGATTAAGGAGGTAACTCATCACTCTGCATGCTGTATTATTTGTGCATCCAGATATTATGCGCATGGCTGCATTCTGTATCCACTCAAGTCTCTCTATCTGTGTATGTCTGAGAATCAGAATAGCCACAGCGTATTCAATTACATAAAGGATTTCCCTATCTTATGACATGCCTAAAGTATGTGGTTTGTTTTCTTCTGATTCGTATAACCACTTTTCTTTATTAGTTAAAGTTAACTTCTTTCAAAACATCTTCATAAGACCTTTATGGGAATCACACCAGTCTTCCTTTTATATACCCGCATCTCTGCAGATTCTAGAAGTACAGTATGTAAAGTAATCGCCAACAAATAATTCACCACATTAAAACACATATGATCATCTCAGAATTCCCCACTGTATGTGGGCAAAAGTATGGGCAGAGTTGGAATCATCAATCCTGAATGGACTAGACTGGTGGAAAATGACACGTCTCAGGCTCTAGACTGATTATGTGACCTGGGAGTAAGGCTGGTGAAGCTCATCCCCCATACCATCTTCAAGGTCAAGACAGGAGACATTATAATCAACTGCTGCTGCATCAGTGGACTGAGCATGCATGGAAATGTCCAAGGTGAACTGACACTGATTGTGAAAACAAATCATAACATCTCAGAATACATAAATTCCATAAGTATTCTGTTCAAGAAGTATTATATTGTTACCATCCTATAAGTAAGTAAGTAAGTAAAGGACCTTTTTTCCACTCCTTCAGGCATTTTGGGCCCATAGGGCTAGACCTATATTTTATAGACCAATCAGCACTTCGTGGGTAATGTGGTTAACATCACGCCAGTCACCTCTACTTTCCAGGACTGCACCTGGTACCCAATTAAGGCTGGGTCGACCTGGGAGTCACGGTCATTTTTTAAGAAAGCCCTGTTCCATTAGGACCTGAATCCAGGACCAGCATCTATCCACTACACCATGGTGACTCCCGTTATCATCATATAACTGTTAAAAAATAATAATTTTTAAAATAAAAACATTCTCCAGGTGATGCTGGAGTATTGGGAAATGAACAGGCAGATAGACTGGCCAATTCTGCACCACTCTGTGGTGAATTGAGGTATGACAAGTTAGATATTGTGAGGGCCCATTGGGAATGAGTGAACAGTGCTAAGGCACAGATAGATCATTACAGTCTGAGAAAAATGGCGCTGCAAGGAGTTACTAGGATATCTGGCCAACACTCAACACTCATAGGAAGGATGAGACAGATATACAATCAGATGGTTATTGGCACCATTAGAATGGAACTCTTTGCTTGCTGCTGAAGATGGGGATGGAGCACTTATGGGAGTGTCCCAAGTGCCCCGATTTTGATTCTCAATTCAACATTCAAAATAAAACAAACACATACTTTTTGTCATGATCATCCTTGACCTGTTAAATGCTTCTTGCTTGCTGCGAGCATCCTCCATAGCCATCTGAATTTGGCTGTCACTGAGGGATTGTTTGGCCAATCTTTCTGCTATTACAAATGCAGCTGTGCTCTCTGAAACTGTAAATGTGATACCTTCAGAGTGATCGATATCCATAAAGTACTTGGTTATTTATTCTGTGAGTGGGCTTGAAATCAAAACCTTAAAAAAGGTTTGATAGAAATTACAATAACCATGATACTGTCGTTTTTGTTAAGGTTGTCATGAGTGTTAGGTATGTGAATCTTGGTGCAGTATAACACAGTGACACCATACTGGACCTTTATTCGCCAGCTGAGTTGAGCTGAGCTGAGTCAAGAAGTGACATCTCAGCATTCATGGCATTCCCATATGTGCTCCGTCCCCATCTTCAGCAGCCAGCACAGAGTTCCAATACCAATAGTGCCAGTCATAGTCTGGTTGTATGTCTATCTTGTCTTTCCTCTGAGTGTAGTGTGCCCAGGTGTATCATTCTTTCCAACCAACAATAACCTAGTTTCTCATCTGACTTAGTTACTTGTTCCCAAAGGGCTCTGACTATATCTGCCTTGTCATGTATCAATTTACCACCCAGTGGTGCAGATCCAGCCAGTCTGTCTGCCTGTTCATTCCCCACTACGCTGGCATAGCCTAGAGAAAAGATCCAAAGTATGCTCACTCCCCGTGACCTTGCAAGTGAAGCTTGCCACTCTGCTTGAAGCAATCCTGTCTTCACCTTTTTCAGCATGCTTTCAGAGTCCGTTACAATTACGATATGTGTATGTATCTTGTTCTCTAGCCACCGGAGAGCTGCAGTGACCGCCTCCACCTCCATTCTCATGCTAGATGTTGTGGTAACATATGTATTGTATTCACCAATGAATTTTTATAGGTTTCTACTTGCTACAAGTGGTTGTCCACAATTTGTTTCTATCTTGAATTCATTATATTTAATGTCATCAATTTTCTTGGGCTTTTGTTTTTGAATCTGTATTACTTGTGTTCATGTCTTTAGCAGTTCTTTAACTTTCAGTGACATATACTAACATTGAAATAACATTGTAATTGGAAGATACCTGGTTTCATAACTATACAATTTAAAGACTACGCAGCTGAACTGGCCTTACAAAAGTTATATTTCTCTTTGACGTAGTCTATTAGTAAAGTAAAGAATTTTTTTTCCAAACTTTCAGGTGTATTGGTCATATAGGGCTAAACCTATATTTTATAGACCATCTGGCACTTTGGTGGGTAATGCGGTCAGCATCAAGCTTAGCTGCCTTTACCTCCCAGGACTTGTACCCCATACCCATTTAAAGCTGGGTCGACCTTGGAGCCAAGGTCATCCTTTTAAAAAGTTTGGCTCCATCAGAATCCGAACTAACGACTTTCCGAGCATCTAGCCGCTACACCCTGGTGGCTCTCACAGTAGTCTAATTCAAGAACCTTACCCTCGTCCTGAGGTTTGTATCCAAACATGATTGGCGTTGGTTTATCCTGCTGCTGATGCTGACCTGCAAGAGATGACATCTGCTGTAATGGTATAGTGGAATTTCTTCCATACACTGCACCAGTTGCCCTCTGACCTTCACAGCCAGTATTGTTCCTGACAGCTGAGGCAGAGTTGGCTCGTCGTTGCTTCAAAAGGCTGTATCTAGAAATGAACATGAAATAAATATAATGATACTAAAATTCTCAACTACACCTTAAACTGGAGTTTTGATATGGTTAACGTTAGCACAATTTCCTTTTAACCTAGTAGTTATGACTTTGATCCCCAGAGTAATAAAGGTCAGTCTAAATATTCTTTGGCCAAAATAAAATGAGGTATGTGGCTAGTTCTGTCTTTTGCCACCTTTCTTGTCCAGACAATTGCCAGGCAGTTTTAACAATTATTTCATGAGTTTACATCATTAGGACTGAACTCAAACCATTGCCTGGTAAACTGGTGCACAAACTACCACACTACTGCAGTTTTTCCAAAGCAGGTAAGTTGAGTTTTCCCTCCCAATATATGGTACAAATGCAACAGATGGGATAAGCCTCGGGCAAGTTGACACATTTAAGTACTTGAGTATCCTGATAACAGAAGATGGGAGATGTATTAATGATGTTAAATGTAAAATAGCTCAAGCAAAGGCAGCATTTCACAAAATGAAAAATATTTTTAATGTTTGATTTTTCCAAGGGAATTCTCTAAGCAATAATATGGGAGTCAACTTTGAGATAAGAGAGAAATACATGAGAATGTGAATACTTGTACAAACACGAGATATACAAGCATGGCTCAAACTAGCACGTAAAACCCAGAATGAGGGTTCAAATTTTTTTTTTTTTTAATTTGCCTAAATTATTAGGAAAGGTACTGGGAAGTAAAAACAGTCAGCAAGATATTTTCCACATTAGGTTGGTCGAAAAAAAAAGGGAAGTTAACAAAATGTACACAACAGAGCTCAAGGTGTGAAAAAGAATCCTTTAGCTTTAGAGATACTCTGGTCTCATTAAGCAGATTCTAGTAATATAGCTGGTCACCTCAGCTCATTAAATTACCACTTCTATTTCTCTAGCTACTCCAAGCCCTTGAGGTTCACTGCTTCAGATATCATCTGCTCACAGTCATCTCTATAACTGACTTTTTCTTTCCAGTTGGTGACTCCAAGTTTTGTAGACCTGTATGTACATTATCTCTCCACTGTCTTCCTGAGGAACCCGCCTTGGTGTAGTGGCTAGACGCTTGCCTACAGATCAGAAGGTCATGGGTTCGGGTCCAGATGGAGCTGGACTTTTTACAAAAAGACCTTTGCTTCCAGGTAGAGCCCTATTTTATGTTACTAAGGCCAAACATGGACAATGAATATGGCACTAGAACATACAATAAATATGTGTTAAATGTGCTGTCTCCGTGAAGTCGTTAACAACACAATAAGAGACACGGTTTTGAAATCCCGTATTAGAGAGAAAGTTGGAAAAAGACCATGTCTGGATTATACTGACAGACAAAGAATGATATGGTTCAGCCATCTAGTGTCAATGCAGCCTGGCTAAACAGCATATGAGAGTTTTTACAGCAGAATGAGAGGAAGGCAAGAGGAAGATCAAGAAAGATGGATAAATGGTGTAGCCGCGACCTCCAAAAAGATGAATATATCCATCACTCAAGCACCTGATAAGAGCAGCACAAATACAGAAAACCACAAAATTAGTATCAGAGAGATGACAACAACAAAAAGAAGAAGTTTTTAAAGAAGTTCACTGCAAAGTAATGATGCAGTCACCATCTGCCATATAAAAGGTGAATCCAATATAGAAGTTTCATAATGAACTATGACATCCATGAATTAAAGGATGTATTTGACTAATGATTCCTCTCCTCTGAAGGTATGCACTGGTCATCCATGCCTTTGTATTTTTACTTTACATTCATTCCATGAGTTTTGACATACGAACTTAATATGCTTGATACATAAAATACAACCGCCGTATGAAGGATGAGTGCTTGAAAGGGCAAAAAATAAAACAGGCCTGCACGCCCAGTTTGTAACCCTTTGGAAATAAAGTTTGCTCGTTTGTTCGTTCTCCATGACAATTATGAGTCTGTGCCACACAATTTACCTTCTTAAATAGCTGCCTTGTGGTTGTAAAACTGCTTTAATACCATTCTGAGGATTAGCCACAGGGACAATCTGTGGCTGGAAGACTCCTGGTCCTGGCTTGACATTAGTACTGCCATCAGAAGCACTATTGTATGTGCCAAGTCCTGAATATGAACAAAAATTATAACACTATCCAATTCTCTATATTCCATACATCTTCTTAAGCTTATTTGATCATTTCTAACACAAATTAGGTCTTATATTGTCAATAACAAATTATACAAAAGTGGTTATAGAATAAGAGTTGTTTAGGATGGAAAAAAGGAGAAGCTTATGACAGATTATAAAAGTGGGGATGGTCAGCTTCAAAATTGAGTGGGGATGCAAAGACAAACATCACAAAAACCTAACAAACAAGCAAACCAAGCACAAAACCAGCGCATAAAAAGCAGGAAAGTACAAGTTCCCCAAAGATATGAAGAAACAGAGAAAACCTAGTATCCCTTCTCAGGGCTACCTGGCTACCTACTAAAAAAGCAGCAAATGACCAAAAAGGCATATGGCAAAGCAAGAGGATGTGACCAGGCATGATCCCACTTGGCAAGAAAATACTGAATTTAAACTACAAGAAATAGAGGACTTAAATATAACCAGCCCTTGTGGCAGGTTGAATGAGTCCAATGTTTGTTTTTTCTCAATTCAAATTCACAAATTGGAAAGTGAGACTCTGCTATCAGCACATGCCATTAGCACACCATCTGTTGGGCTTTAACCCTAAGCTTTGAGACATAATTTTTGACATTGTGTTTTTGTTTTCCAGGTAAGCGGAATTATTTTCAACCTTTATTTTCTGATGTAAATCTCAGTTATCATTCTGCTCAAGTGTGTGTCTTTATTACTTTATAGTACTATTTGGCAGACACTTTTCCATTCTAGCAGGGCACTGTCAAATAGCTCTATATCTTAATTTATGTTTTCATTTAAGTTTTTAGTGTACATGTTTTTCTATGTTGTATAACTTGAATATTGATGTTAGCAATGAAATTTAATGAACTATCATTTTCATGAAATCACAAGTGTGAATATGTTTTGACAGTTTCTTCACGTGTGATTACTGTGATAGTCTATCTTTCATAGAGCTAATACTGTGAAATGTATTTAACTCAGGGGAAGCTAATGCTGGAGACTGACCCAGAGAGCAAAACCCTGAGATTTTATATTTGACGTCACCCAGAAGTATTGGTATCATTTTGGGTGCACTCATTATTTCAGGCATTAGTTACAGAACTTGTTCTGTCACATTATATCCATGTTGAGTCTGCATGACAGATGACTGAGACTTGGAGGACACAACTATCATGACAGGACATGAGAGGGAAGGCAGGAAAGTACCAACGGCAATGTGAGACAAAAGACCTTCAGACTAGACTGGAGAATGTGAAAATGAGGAGGAGGGTGAAATATGTTTTTATTTGAATATGCGTACTGAGTGTAATCTGGACACTACACATATGTGCTAGTTTCTTTTATCGCAGTTCTTATCAGGGCAAGGACTAGTCAGCACCTATCAGTAGCAGATGGTCCAAGTGTACAACCTGCTTGAAGCAGTGAGGAGGTCAGGCTGGGAAAAGTTAGGCGGTCTAAAACTGAGATCTGTCTAAGGTTTACTTTCTTCAAACTACATCAAAGTTGTGTTCATAAGAATTGTTATCACTGCAACACCATCCTCACTCTGCTTTCATGTACTGAACTCGCTGAATTAACGCATTACCGTCACTGTGCTTTATATTTTATGATTACAAGGTCGATATCACTCATTTTATATTGCTTAGACTACATTAATAAAATCATGTTCAAGTTTGTTAACTATTATTTATAGTTCCAAGTAGCTATGTTCGTAATTTGCACTTGGTGAGGGCATTCAATTTAAATTAATACCAGGAGAGTGGACAAAGTCAGTAGGGTTAACTGTGTATCTTGATATTCTCTAAGTGAATTCATCTAGATATCCAACTACCCTTTTCTTACTCCTGTGGATACAAGTAAAGTTGTTTTCATTTTACTGAACGAGCCACTTTTGCTGCTTTCTTGGTTATCCAGGGCTTTGTCTTGAATCAACATAGCTCATATTTTAGTCCTGTCTCACATGGGTGTGAAGTGTTAGGATTCAAACCCACACACTCACTTCATAGGTGTATATACATGTTACTACAACAGAAACAAACATCTCAAATTCAAAAACCACAAATGTGTCATCACCATCATCAGTTTCCACTTCTGCTGTTAAGCGTTATAGGGAGGAACACTTTAATGTCTCTTCTACATCACACTGGGAGTCACCATGGTGTAGCGGATTTAAGCTCATCTGTGTATTCAAAGGTCATGGGTTCTAATCTGGATGGTGCTGAACTTGTTTCAAAAATGACCTTGGCTCCCCAGCTGACCCAGACATAAATAGGTACAAGGTAAAAGTCCTGGGAAGTAAAGGTGGCTGGCATAATGCTGACCATATCACCCATCAAGCGGTGATTGGTCTATAAAATAAAGGTGCAACACTTTATGCCCAATGCGCATATATGCTCGAAAAAAGGTCCTGTACTTTACAACACATTAAAAAGAAACTAACAAATAAACAATTAAAAGACAAACAGAGAAAATCATCTCAGCAGCAAGAAATAAAAACACAGCACCTTTACTAACCTAAAGCGGCACCATCTATAAGTTTCGTTGAAAATGTAGGGGGCTGTCTTGAACCTGGATCACTGCTGCCATTGGCAGCAGGGCTACTTTTGTTTCCAACTTCTCTGCTGAGGCAGTTCCGTACCTTATCCCAAAGCCAAGTGATCTCCTCATCTGTAGGTGTTCGATCAACTCGAATTCCACTTTTATCATATACAACATTGTTACTGCCGGTGGAAAATGATGCAGTGCCTCCATTAGATTGTGGATATGGAACTTTTTTGGAGGCAGGTAATGCACTGCCTGTTGCACTTGAGTTAGAGAAAAAGACATGCTTTGAATTGGAGTAAACATTTCTGGGCTTGTCAAAAGTCTGCTGCTGTGGCAGTTCCTTTGAAACCTGGAACACCCTTTCTTCAGCAGCCGCATTTGCTCCAGTTTTATTTGTATAACTGCTTGGAACTTCAGTATGTGGCGTATAAGCAGCATTGTAGACTACTATGTTTGACTCTTTGTTTGCAGTAATCTTCACTGGCACTTTGGACATAAAATTGTTGTTAACTGGTTTAATTTTAGTCTCTGTATGAGATCTATGAGCAGATGCTGGCCCAGTGTAATTGTCGTTGTGTCCTTTGGAAGCTTCACTTTTCACATCTGTACCCATGATAATATGAGCTGCTGCTTTAGGGCGATGAATAGGTGTTGAGTTCATAGGGTTAACAAGAGATGGTGGAAGACTGGATCTTTCCTGGAGTGTGTTGGTATAGGCGGAATTGGTGACCTCACTGGAGTTCACAGGGCCAGAACCACTGGACAGTTGTTGGACATTTCGAATCTGTAAATGCTCTGACGTCATTGGTTGCTGTCTGTTTGAATCAGCACTTAGTGCTCTCTGAACTCTGATATTTGTCTCAGAGTTGCTTGCAGACATAGTTTTAGCTGATAGTGGCCGGTTAAAGGAAGTTTCTGTAGAAGAAATTAAACAAACATAAATATTAAACTTGATAAATCCGGTAACCTCTAATTATTTATGGTCTTAAAAATAACCATCAGGGAACATAATGGTAGAACAAACATTATCTTTCCAACCTTCATAAAAGTCAGTGAAAGTATTATACCATCATGTTATCATCAGTCACAAGGGGATGGAACAGACTGCGGGATATCCAACATGGAAAGAGGTAAAATAGCAAGAACAAGTAATGACTTTAACAATGTGGTGACAATAAACTTTTAAGACTGCTGAAACTATGGGTCGAATATGTCACTGCTCAATAAGAATACTTGAAGGTTAGCATATATGGGTATATAGATACTAAGTGGATATTTAGTATTAACTCTTCCATACATGCTGAGGTAATTTTTGTAAACATTGTTGGATTCTGAAAAGAAAAGGAAAACATTCCTGGTAATTTGCCAGAAGGTTACAGGTTCAATTTATGGTTGCTTGGTTCAACTGACAGGTGCAATTTTATTGAGATCCCTGGGGACTGTCACCGTAGCTAGAGAGTTTGTGCTTTGTGCCACTCTCATGGCAGGCTGCTAACCATATAAGATCAAACCTGGTGCAGTGAAGTTAATACTCTCGACTAACTTTCAAACCTTTTAATTGCAACAATTTTATTAGAAATCAAAACTCTTTCTAATTTGTTGATACAACCTTGCAAAAAAAGATATAAAACATTGTTTCTCAGAAGAAAAGACAGCAAACTGAAAGTCTGTTGCCTCCATTTCATAAATCTACCACTTAATATATTCTTGTTCGTCTACTACTTGACTTGACACAGTGACAATACTTTGCCTCTTTGTTGGCATATCTGACTTCAGCATAATATAAAAAAGGGTAGGTAGGCCAGACATGATCTGCAGTTGCATAGTGCTAAGGAGGTTTTCTTGCTCAATGATGACATAAGTAGGGGATGACTGCAGTCGGGCTGTCGAGTAAGGACCTAACTTAAGGTAAATAAATGAATAAAAATAATATTTTGTTTTGGCATTCTCAGCCCAGCAAGGATCAATATTGGCATACCTATATTTAATTTTACATTTGTATTCTGTTTTATTGTATTTATTTAACTTGTTTGTATTTATTCCCAGTTTTTAAAACACTTTCTTATTATATTTCATTTTAGAATATAGCCCTTCATGTCCATATTTTTTCTCTATAACATATTTCTTGGTTTGATGTTACCTAGGTTGCTTACAAAATTAGATGTCTTTTCCAGTGAGTTTTTCAGTCCCACTTTGTGTTGTGTTAAGTCTTCTTCTACCTTTCTAAACCCCCAAGGGAGCATAGACCATCAACTAGCTCATGCCAAGTTTTTCTACCCTCGCTATCGCATGCATCAACTAGCTCATGCCAAATTGTTCTATCCTTCGCAATTGCCTGCAGCTCTCCCCATGTCCTCCAAATATTTTTAACTTCACTCTCTAGCTCTCTTCTTCTCCTCAGTTTTTAAAAAATCTTTCTTGTTGATAAGGACATTGGTTAAAACTTCAGGTTGTATATGTGTACATCTTTTCCATTGCCTCTATTCAGCTTTCTAGTCACATTTTGTGTTGTTTATTACTTCTCGCTTGCTCAGTGGCATATGTTCCTATAATCCACAATAATGGCAAACTTCCTTCTACCTAGTGCAGCTGTGGGATCTACCCATCCTAGTAAATTGGATCCTTTATAATATTTTTAGTTTTATTTTCTAGGCATTGTCCTGGAAGGAAAATGCACTGAGAGGAAAACTGACCATTCTAGCTTTATCATCTAGTGCATTGTGGCACATTATGATGATATTAAAGTGTGCTTCACAAAGTTATGCACAAGAATTGTTTGCAGGTGGCCTTAGATTTCCTATGACCTTTTGAATGTATTACTGACAAATGTACAGGTGCTGCAGTTTTCTTAAAGCAGTGAATGTGTTTGATCTTTGTTGACTTACAATTTGTGGACCAATAAAAATTATAATATTCAGTAACTGACACACCTGTGGAGATTGTTTGGGAAACATTTCACATGTGCAGTGATGAGCTGTAATTGTTTTGATAGCTCATCCCACACACAATAAAAATTGTTTTTATCTAACTCACGAGAGGCTAATGCTGGAGATGACAACTGGAGAGTGAAATGCCTATGAAACGAGTGCAGTCTGGTATTTTTTTAAGTTTTCCTTAACCATTAACGGTAAGCATGTTAACTGATTTGAATCTGTATGTTTTTCATAAAGGCAATTTAGGCAAAACGAAAACTAGATGTTTATTTACGTTTAAAACAATTCTTACAAGGACATGATTATTAACAGGTTACATGCCAAACTGCAACAACTTACACCAGATACTGAGTTACAGATTTTTAAAGTTGGGTATGACTTCCGGAATGGACGATACTTTGATCTTTTTTGTTAGATACCACTCTTCATATCTTACAGTGGATTCTCTACGTATTTCCTATTTGGTAGTCTGCATATCCCTTGTTCCCCTTCCTAGCCCCTTTGTTTGTACATTTTAATTTTTTATTTTTTGGAATTTCGATATTTATAAATGATAAATTTTTCAGTATGACTATTAAAAAAGTATTGGGTCTTTGGAAGACATTCGTAAATGAGAGGGATCACCGGGTTTCAGCTATTTTGGGAACCACTGCTCTACACTATTAGATGGATCAAGCCCAAAAACAGAAAGACCACATACTGTGTGTTGATAGTCCAATATTTATATCAGTCTGCTTGTCGCTATTTCTGTCTTCAATGCTTTCATTTTCATCCTCTTGATCACGGTGGCTAGCAAAGCGCACACTTTTTTTCTTGCTCTGTGAAATAAATGTAAGCATTATTTTATTTTGAATATTTATATTGTCCAGGAACATTTAAGTGGTATCAACAAATGGATAGATGATTTGTTGATAAGGAAGAAGCCTTTAGTAAGAGAATTCAACCTTTGTATGACTGGAATAGGTAGGTTCTAGCTAAGTAGTGTAGTGAGGTAAGTTCGTTATGTACAAAGTAGGAGAATTTAGGTACGAAAGTAGGTAGGCAGGCAAACAGACAGCTAGATAGGTAGTTAGACAGGTGTGTAGGTAGCTGTGCAGAGAGGCAGACGAATGCAGTACCTGATATTTCAGAAATGGAAAAAGACTGCTGTACAGTTGTTGTTGGCACCTTTACATCTTTCTAGATGATAATATTATACTGTACTATGAGGAAGCAGCCTATGGCGACAGTGAGCATGACTAGCAAAACCCACCAGCATTAAGAAAATATTCTCATTTTCTCCAGCTAAGGCCAGAGATTAGCTCCCAGGTAAAGTCCTGGGAAGTAAAGGTGGCTAGCATGATGCTGATGACATCACCCACCAAGGGCTGGCAAGTCTATAAAATATAAGTCTAGCCCTATTTGCCCAACACACCTGAAGGTGTGGACAAAGATCTGTTCACTTGTGTGAGCTTGCAGCCATAGTTCTTGCACATCTAGATGGAGGATGGAACTGATAAATAATTAGGTGGGTATGAGGTAGGAAGGTGGGCTCAGGCCCCTTGAAGTCTTCCCCCACCCCTTTTTCCAAATGTTTTTAAAACATGGCTAACTGGCCCACTTTATCCATCTATAGACATTCTCTTTCAAAGTATTTGTTTAAATATTTTACATTATTTCATATTTATTATATTTTATTTGCTTTTCAGCATAGTAATATTATTATGACACAAAGTGCCACCATGCGGATGAGGATCACCGGTGGAGAAGTCCTAGAAACCCCTTTCAGCTGTTAGGCCACATCTATGGCTAGGCCATATCTATGCCCCGGCTATAATCAGGGCCCCCAGCAGAAGCCAGGGTGGGGCTTCAAATAACAAAAAATTGCATCCCACATGGGGATGACTTTTTCTTTTATGTCAATATTAGGCTCCTACTTCCCTTCCCCTTTTCTACAAAATTTTGAAAGCTGGGTGGGAAGGTCTTGAGGGTCCTCCTTCAATGTTTTCTTGGTGTCGATGCCACTGGGCTCCAGGTAGGCTGGTAAGAGGTAGGTAGGGTTTGTAGTAGGCAGGTAGCTGGATAGGTAGGTAAGCTAGCAGGTAGGTAGACAGATAAATGCAGTATAAGAAATATTCAGAACAGAACAAGACGTTGTATAGTATATCAATAGTGACAATAAAAAATGCATAACATTTAACTTGGCTTTGTGTGTGTGCTTCCTGCATAGTTTCTCTACCTGGTCTCACCCATTTGCACTTACTGTTCTTACAGTCTGACCACAGCAAGCAGACATACTGGCCGGCTCCGCACCACTTGGTGGTGAATTGATGCATGACAAGCTAGATATTATGAGGGCCCTTTGGGAGAGAGTGAACAGTGCGGAGGTGCAGATAGATCATTACAGTCTGAGGAGAATGGCACTGCAGGGAGTTACATGGGATCTGGCAGACGCTCCACACTCAGGGGAAGGGTGAGATGGATGTACTATCAGAAAATTACTGGTGCCATCAGAATTGGAACTCTGCCCTTGCTTCTGAAGATGCGGATAGAGCGCTTATGGGAGTGTCCCAAGTGCTGTGATAAAGATTCTAAATTCAGCATTTAACAGTCTGTCATGTTTGCAGATTCTCTCACAGATGCTAAATAAAGAAGTAGAGTGAGCTTCAGATTTCATCTGGAATGTTTTTTGCCAACAACATGTCAGTTTGTTTACCATGGTGCTTCAACCGTTCTCCAGCGATTTATTTCTGTAAACAAACAGTTCAATAGTCTTAAAATATATTTAAAAACTGGCCAGTTTACCAACCTTTTTATCATTATGCAAATGTGCTAGTTCCAGACTATCCCTGACAGGAGGCTTGCCTGTTGGAGCTTTTTCCTGATGGTGAGGTATGTTTCTGGCATGAGTTTGCTTAAGGATTCCTCTCAGTGGGCGCATGTATTCAGAATCTTCATCTAAAAGCAGATCGTTGTCTTTGTGTTCCTTGGCAACATCATATAAAGTATTTCTGTTGCTTCTGGTGTTAGTTTTTCTGATTATTTCAGTTTCTCCCACAAAAGAGACTGGCTGTGGCCCAGTCTGGACAGCTGCTGCATGACTCTGCGCTGTCACAGTGGCTGTACTAGAAACTGGAGATGGGGGCCTGCTAACAGGAAAATTGCTTTTTCCAGTAAAAGAAGGTGCAGCACCTTTTAAAGCATTATCATTAATCCATTGTTTGTAGTAATTCTGTGTATTCTGATGTGTCAAAAAATGAACCCCCAGAGATCCAGGTACTGAATCCTTTTGGAATGCCAAAGATTGTTTGCTCATTTGCTTATCAGTGGCTAACTGTTCTCTAATGTCTGTTTGAAGAATACCTGTACTTGACCCATCTGTCTGTGACAGGTAGTTATACATTTGAACTTGTTTTGATATGATGTTTCTGTAATCCTGAGAATCAGTTTGAGGATATGTGGAGCTCATTATATTTAGATAAGTTGCATCATTATTCATATTTACATTTATAGCAGCAGCACTTGTCAAATCCTTTTGCAGTTGACCACTGTTTGTTCTTGCCATGTCTGTAGCATCAAGCTTGGAGCCAGCTAGTGTGTATATTGAAGAATTTGGTGGAAATCTAGAAGGCAAAGTTGCAGGGGAGGAGGCAGGCATAGTTACTGACATGGTACCTCCTGAACTGTACGAATGAATATTTGTGTTAACCAGAGATGTGGGTATTTGGCCCTGAGTGCTACTACCTGACCATGTCGATACGCCTGATGCATAATGGGGCTGAAATTGTTCATCAGTTTGTTTATTTTCATTTCCAGAGGCACTTTTTGTTTCAACCTGAGAAGGAGATACCCATGCCACCTGACTATGTTTTATATTAGGTGATGCCGCTTGTCCTAAAAGATTATTATTTTCTGAATGCAGCAGTTGGTACGTTCTTGGACTTATTCCCAGAGTTACTGGGATACGATTATTATTTATGTTAGACTTGGAGAAATTACTTCCATTTCCAGTGCTTTGTAAGTATATGTTATCATTAGTTTTTGGTGTTTCCCTATCTATGCCCTTGAGTTTCAGCACAGATTTAATACTGCTAGAACTACCAGAATTCAATGAGTCTGATGAAAACTGTTGGAGTGATGGTTGGTAGTTCTCCTCCACTTTATGATCTCCACTTTTCATTTTATTACTTCCATTGTTGTCACTTGTTACAGCAGCATTTGGCATACTCTGGTTTTGTTTTATATAAGTTGATGAATTTGAAATCGGCCCTATTTCATTTTTTGCACCATCTAGCAAAGATCCATTTTTATGAGATAATGTAAATGGGTCCACATGTTTGTGTTGTAAATTATTTTGATCTTCCGGTTCACTAGACAATGCTAAAAGTGTCATATGTTGCTGTTGTTGTTGTTGCTGCTGCTGCTGTTGCTGCTGCTGTTGTTCCAATTTAGGATCTAGATTCTGCTTTGCTAGTTCCTGTTTCTGTTTCTGTTGAGATAAACTCGGGTATTCATTATTTACTTTTCTGTCACTTTCAGCATCATGGTAGATATAAACAGTTGTATGTCCTGACTGTGATGTTACAAGTTTAGTTTTGTTACTTGTGTAACTGTGCAAGTCGGCTGATGTGTGATCATCCAGGCTGTCAACACTGGAACAGCTATCACTAAGGTAGGCATCTTCTCCCTTTTCTACAGCGTCATTATTATTATCATCATACTGAGGACCTGTTGCTCCAAATGCCTTTCCTCCAAAAATTTCATTATTAACAGCATTGTTAAATTCCTGCAGGGATTGTTTTTGCTCAAGAAGAAAACTTTGTTGCTGCTCCAACTGTTGTTCAAATAAACTTTTGCTTGCCGTCAAATTTTGTTTGCTGTAGTTCATTAGTTCTGCTCTTTCTTTTGCATCAAGTTGTTGAGTGAATCGACCTGATCCTGGTCGTGTAGAATGTGGTCTAAGCTTATTAAAAGATGACTCCAAAAGATCAACATTTTCATCAGCTAGTGACAAAAATCTCTCGTGTGATGACATAGGGCGATTTTGATGCAGGATTCCTCCTCTTATCAACTGCAGAGCTGTGTCCAGTGTTGTTCCACCGAATGTTCTCGACCCTGGTCTATAATTCTGTCTTGCACTTGGTGGTAAGTGATATCTCTGATATTTTTCAGTAGCTTGTCTTTGTTCTTCTCTCCGTCTCGTCAGAATGTCATATCTACGTTGCTCTTCTCTTTTGGCTTGCAGTTGTCTCTTGTGTGCTTGAAGTCTGAAAATATTATTTGAAACTCATGTCCAAAAAACAACGAAATTCATAATTTGTTGAAATAACAATTAATTACCAACATGATGTGGGCTAAAAAGCCACAATGGTTGGGGCATATGGAGATTCAGAGAATGGTACAAACGTAAAAGACAGCAAATGTTTACACAAAAGCATTGAATGTGAGTAGACCATAAAGCAGACAAAGAGGAGAGAGAGATAATACAGAGTTAGCCACATGTGCTGAAATGTACCACATGGGATATCAACTGTGTTGCATATTCCAGCAGGTTAGCGCTTTTAACACTCCAAAAACATGCAGGACTGGCCCTAACACAAACACCCCTGCGAGAGTGCTGCAACCTACGTCACAAGCATTCTCTTTCTCGGGATAAAAACGTAAATAGAAGACAACGCAGAAAGATTTTTGAACAAACAGTACATCAGGACACCCCTGTAACCTTCAGCAAAGTTGATGAGTCTCAGTAAGCACCAATCAAAAGTGACCTAGTGTGTTAATAGGCGGAGCTAACCCAGATGGGGAGAAGTTTCACTGAAGAAGAATATATTTTCTATTTTCACTGTGATGCAGGGGTGCTGAACCACAAATGGCGGTGCACCAAGAACAGGGCTCATGCTGGTCATGACCTGTCTATACCTCTATGCGCTTATCCTAGAAACAGGTTCCTAGCCATCGTAGATAAGATGGGCCTTTCCTTTAAAGTAGTATTGCACCTACCTGAGAGGCAAGGAACCAATAGTTTGCACACAAATAGCCTAATCTGTAAAACACGGTGTGGATTGGGGCTAAACTAGATAGCTAGGACTCACGACCAAATAAAATGAAGGAAGCTGCAGGAGATGTGGTAGCTGCTGCTCCTGAGTCCTAGCCATCTAGTTTAGCCCCAATCTCCACTGCGTGAGCGGCGTGGGGGACACTCTCCGCGGTGGCGGAAGTTGCCGAAAGTTCGCAATTCGGTGGTGACGTTATATTCCCTGGAAGTGTGCAATTGGCACGTGAATGAGGCCCTGTTAGGGTATATTTTCCTCGATAATTTACGACCATTTTTCGGAGGATAGCTGATATTTTAACTCAAACTGACATTATGCTACAAAAATTATAACTGAAGAAAGAGCTAATTTCAAAACAACTCAACAGTATGCTGTAATTAAACTTTATTTTCAGTCCCAAGTAATTAATGTTCAGAGTGACTGGACATCCCTGTTTCAGATGCTTTTACTGACAAACTTTCTATGGATATTTAAATGTTCCAGTCTTTAGACATGTTTAAATTGCTCACAAAATGAGTAGTTTAGTTAGCCTAACTGTTGTCAAAAATATTTAGCTTTAAAAACAACACTGTCTGCGTCAATTGTGTGTCCCGTGCATACTTATTCGCATTCAGCTCCGTGTTCATTTCTAATTGCTCGGAACTACCATTAGAGTATTTAGGGAAGGTTACTCTAACATTTTTCTTTCTAAACAAGTCTATGTTTGCGCACATGTCATTTTTGGACAGTGCATTTTCTGATTTCGTGTTCAAGTGGCAATGGCTACCAATGTTCTTCACAAGCACAGGTGAAAAATGAGTCTTTCTGTGGCTGTGTAAGATGTTTTCTAATATGAAAAACTGAAATGTTTCGGAAAATGATTTGGACAGTAAATTTACGCAAGTGGCAGCTGAGCGGTCATATGTTCGTTCTGATAAGGTAAATCCAGGAGGACCCATTTCATTTGTGAAGAATGTGATAGTCACCCACATTTGCATCACATGGACTGTTTCAGACAGTACCATACTCATACAATGGCTAAGCTGCTTTGAAATCATTGCAGTTACAGTCTGTATATAACTACAAAGTTAATATTTTGTGTATAGAACTATAAAACCAATTTTCTACAATTTTTGCTTTTAAATTTTGTTCACCACTCTGTGGGAACCTACAGCCTCTGAATGATAAACTAAACTAACTCAGAAACGTATAAAAACTTTTGAATTTGTTAGGAAACTGAACAAACTTTTAAGTTTTTTCTCAAGTATGTATTTTCACTGCTCTTGTGGCTCCAAAACCATGGTAAGTGAAGATTTTTGGGGTTAAATTTTGTCTTTGTAAATATAACATATGCTGAATTATTATTTCCTACTAACTATAACAGTATAAAACAAAAACACATCATCCATTCAAAATGTACATTCATTCCTCTTTTGAAAAATATATTCTTTTGTAGGAATTGGAAGTATATTACAGTCTTAACTTTTTCCCCCACACAACTCCTCTGCCATTTTTGTAAAGTCAAGAACTTTTTCCGAAGACTCCTAAAGGTTCATAACCCATAACCCAATCTTAGGGTGAAAAGGTTAAGGGAAGCAATGCTAGTGCACTCACCCAGGACTTTGCAAGTTATGATTTTATTTTTGCCACTGAAAGAAAAAATCCATTTCCATACACTGGATTCACACTGTGGTCTCTCAAATAAGTTTAGTCAGTCAGCTTTCTAAAGAAACTGTTTTTCCCAGTAAGATTTTCTGTTCTGTTTATGTTACCACGATGTAGTAATCTGCTTTCATAAGATTTTCTAAATAAAAAAAGTGAGGATCAGGGCATCTGATATAGTTGCTGCCTGGGTTTATGATATAATAAACATGGATTTCACACAAGTTCATTCAGGAAAATAAACACTGTTTTAACAGTTTGTACTTCTTCTTCTTCAGCATTCCAAGCTCTTGAGGTTCACTGCTGCAGACATTACCTGTCTCCATTTATCTCTGAGATTGGCCTTTTCTTTCCATTTGGTGACTCAACTCATTCATAGGTCTGCCTTTTTTTCTACCTCTCTACTGTCTTTTATGGTCTACACAAATTCAGTTCTTTTGTTTACACGTTGTCTGTCTCTGTTATCTGCCATTCTAAGTGAGTGACTAAAATTATTACCCCCATCCACCCAAGACTGCACAACAAGCAGTGAACACCCAGTGACACAAAGTATCACCATTCAGATGAGAATTCCCCCCCCCCCCCCACCCAAAGTCCCATAAACCCTGTTCCATAGCAAGGTAATATTAGGGTCCCCGATGACATTTACAGGGTAACCTGAAGTCCAGGGTAGGGGCTTTAACATTTTTTTTAAAGCTTTATTATCTATCTACTATTCTCTCTTTATTCATTCTATTAGTTCTCATAATGCCAGTCTAAATACTGTAAACAAAATTAATACACCTGTGTGCATTTTTTATAAAATAGAAATATAGCTTACTTCCTCCTTCTGTTCGTCTCCTGGGAAAGTCTCTTGGCTTTATTAATAGCTTCCACTCTGTCACTGTCAAGTGAAATATCATCTGTTTGTCGAAATTGCTGGCTACTTTTAGTTAAGAAAGTAAAATGGGCAAGAACAAAAAAAAAAGGTTTTTTTTTTCAAAAGCAGAATAATACTAAATAATACTGAACATTGTTTACTGAAGTGCAAGAAACTGAACCGCATGAGACATCCTCAAGTGAATTTATGACCCACCACAAACATACCTATGACAATGAAAACATGTTGAAGACAGATAGCTCTAGAAAAAAAACTGCTTTATAGTGGATGAATATTGCAAAGTCAAATACTTAAAATTGGTAAACATACTCACTGGTTAATAACTTAATGTGAATATCACAATTTTCTTAACTCTTTGAGTCCCGGGGGATTTAGCATCACAGGCCCAAGGGGTAGTCAAGAGAGACGTAAAATCGGTGCATCATGCGTTTATTGGGTCTCTAGGTAGGAATCTATAAACGTATGATGTGTTTTTTGGGACTCAAAGAGTGTAAAATAGTATATACATTTTCTGCAGTATTAAATGGCATTGTTGTATTTTAGACTATGTACATTTTTCCTTTCGTCTGACTGTTGAGTGTTGGCCAGATCCTCTACGTACATCTAACTGCACCATTCTCTTCCGACTGTCATTATTAATGTTTGCTTCCATACCATACACTTGCTCTTTAAGGGGCTTGATTATGTCTAGCTTGTCATGCATAAATTTACCCCCAAGTGGTGCAGAACCAGCCATTCTCATACATCTCAATCTTCTAGAATCTTCTATTTCTTCCTCATGTTTCCCGACGGTAAACTCTGAAGGAAAGCTCAGGTTCATTTATTTCTGGACCTTTTTCTTGTTACAGAGTTTAAGTTTTGTGTGTACATTCCTTTTACAGATCTGGCTCAACTGTGTGCAGACTGATGGTTCCTTGTCTCTCAGGCAGATGTGATCTGACATCAAAGTAGACTTTTTGACCCCCCCCCCCCCCTTTTTTTTCCAAACATAAAACTGAACCCCATAACCCACATTGAAATATATATATTAATATTATATATATATATACACACACACACACACACACGTATATATGCTGAAAAAGAAGAAAGAATAAGGTTTCCTCTGATCCCTGCTTCTTTTCTATAAGTATATCATATCTAATCAATAATTAACGACCACTACATGACAGTGTATTTATCGTACTCCTTATTGGTCTTAAAGTTTATCCAACATTCATAAATTATGTTTCCTTTTACGCTATCAATTAAAATTCCTTTCGTAAACTCTGAGATTAAGAAGACTATTGAGAATACGAAGAAACTAGGAAAGACACAGTGCTGCTACTACTACTTACTACTACTAATTAATTAATACTATAGCGAGCCAATACTTACTATTACTATTACTATTAGACTATAGTATTATAAACCACTTTTACTATTGTATAATATTATAGTATTAGTGAGGTACCTTTGCGGTGAAAGTAAAATTAACTGTTCATTATAAAAGGATACGAATATGCCCCAGCAATGAGGTGACTGTCCATTCTCCTAACACAGCTAGAATTAAGTTTTTAAAAGGCAGATTGTCGACAATAATGTTTTGACATATGTGAAGCGACGCGTTAGGTCTTGTTGTTTACACTGGTTGGATACCGACTGCCGCCATATTGTTCCTAGTAACTACATGCGAAGGAATGCTGTTATTATCTACTTCTGCGCAACTTCCGTGGTGTTAACATCATCATCATGAAGCAGATCCTTTGCACTTTGCAGTTGCAGAACGTCGCACTCACTACGGTCTGTCTGAAAGAAACTCGGTCTGTCGCCAGCTTTCCCGGCTGGTGTGCTTTTATATGCAAGGAGTGACTTATTTCCTGCGTCTATATTCGTGTTTGTCGTCCTCTGCTCCTCCTTCCTGGTGCCATGCCTTCTGCTATTATATTTTTTTTCAATCTACCACGACACTTGAATTGATATGACGAAAATATTTTAGCTTTGGAGAGAAGATGCTGTTTATTAACCAATCATCCTTGAAAGCTTGTCCCATCTACAAATATTTCACATATTTTGTACCATGCCACGCCTAATTTCTTCACAGTATTACGCAAATGCCAAGCTCGCTGTCCTTAAACTCCCTCCCATAATACTAAATGTGCCACTGAAACCTTACAACGACTGCCCCCGCCCCCCCCCCCCTTTCTTAGCCTAGGGATAGCCTGCCAACAGTCAGAACGAATTTAACAAGGATCTCCTCCAAATCATCAATGAGCAGCACTGATATAAAATCAACTACCGAAGGAGAGATCAATAGACTTTATCCACACCAGAGTTGGATTCGAGTGTATACAGATGGTTCAGCCAAGAAAGCAGTAAGAGACGGAGGAGGAGGAATATACAAATGGTTTAAAAATCAACCAGGCTATACCAACAGGTTCATATTCCTCCAATTACAGAGCAGAGGCAGAAGCACTTCTGGCGGCATGTTCTTTCTTGAATGGACAACAGCACAGCAAATATAACAGGGTGGTCTTTCTGAGTGATGCTGTGTCAGTTCTACAAGCAATTGATAAGCCAAAAGACACTCAGTTTTTAGACTTGACGCAACAGACGATTTACTTAGGCTCTTCAGTAGAACAATCTGTACTGCAGTGGATTCCAGGTCACTATGGCTTGGAAAGCAATGAAATAGCGGACATATTGGCCAGAAGCGGCAGTGACATGGTACAACCAAATCGCGACTTAACCCACCAAGAGACGAAAACATTAATACAATCTAGTATCCAAGAAAGGTGGCTGGATACCCACACCAGATTTTCTCCCCAAGACTCACTTCATCACCTCTCTAGAGAGGGACAGTGTGTTATGCTGAGCATGTGCTCCAACACTGTCAACTGTATGCTGTTGACAACAGAGACGCAATCTGGCCTGTTCCAACCACAATGAAGACAAAATTGTATGGTACACGAGATTATATGGATTGCACGATAGCTTTCATAAAGGCTACCGGCCTCCTGATATAAGTTTTCTGACAGAAGGGTCGAAGAAGAAGAAGAAGAATGTGAGTATTTCTTCTCTCCCTTGTCCATTGTATCTTTAGATTCTCTCTGTAGCATTTAACTCAAAATCCCTTATATTCTTCCGTGTATTGTATAAATTCAAACCTTATTATTATTTTTTTTTTATATCCAGAAACCATGAGTTTTAGATAAACCTTTGGCTCGGTACTATGGATATCGCAACCATTTGTCCTTGATTCCATGATAGATATCATAAAGCTGGTAGAAATGTAGCTTTTCTGCCAATCCCGGGCGTTCACCCGGACCACAAGGAGTTCGTCATCCGGTCGCCGCGAAGTAAGGTTTAACCAACTACGCTAGTGAGCTGGGCTTCAACCCAGATAAGAGAAGTTATATTGTAGATAACTCTGTCCTAATATGGGACGTATTCTGTTTTTCTTTTTTTTTTTTTTAATTTATAGCCTGACCCTAGATGTCTTCAGGGACCCTAACATAACGGATGGATTTGCACCTGGAGGATTCTCATGGTGGCACTTTGTGTCACTGGGTATTGATCGCTTGTTGTGCGGTTATGGTGGGGTTTAACATCGCTCACTCAGATGTAAAGTAAAAATTTAAACTAGGAGAACAGAAAAGGGCATGGAAACAATACCTGGCAGCTAGGAACACAGCTGAAGAAATATAGAAACATAAACAATGTGCGCCACTCAGAATCAGGGCCAAAAATATAGTGCTTAATGCAAAACAGAAATTGTGGGAAGAATGTTGAAAACATTTGGAAAGGAATGCAAGAATAAATCAAAAACTGTTCCAGAAAGACCCCTAAGAACACGAGGAAGGAGAAATAGTGCCCACTGAAATTCATAAAAGACAAGGAAGGGGCTCTGCTTACTACACGCCCAGCTGTAAATCTGGAGCTGGTCGTGGCTTACTACTGCAAAGGATATCATGGACAGATGTAAAAAATACTTCTCAGAGCTCCTTAGTGTTGAGGAAAGTCATGACCCAGAAATAACGGAACTCACTACTGAGAAGGAAATCATCCATGGGGATAATAACATCAGGATGGAAGAACTGAAGGCAGCTATTAAGAAAATTAAACTAGGGTAAACAGCAGGACATGGTGGTATAACACAAGACATGGTCAAATATATGGGAGTCGCAGGTGAGTAACTTCTACTGAAGGTTCTCTAGGCAGCCTGGTATAGCAAAACTATACCAAAAGAATGGGGGATTGCCACCATTATACCTATATTTAAAAGGGATTATAACCGTTAATGAGAAAACCACAAAAGTATACCCCTTCTCATCGTTCCTGGTAAAAGTTACTCTAGAATTTCGAGCAGAGGCTTAGAAGTCTGGCAGAGTCACAACTGGATAAGGCCCAATGCGGCTTCAGAGCAAACCGAAGTACTCAAGAATTTACCATCACACTGAGACAGATAAGTGAAAAAGCTTTTGAGTATAAGTGTGAGATGCATTTATACTTTTTGGATCTAGAAAAGGCATTTTATAAGGTACCTTGGGCAAGCCCTTGGAATGCTTGCAGGGAAAAACATCCTAGCACCCCTGATCACAATACAGAGTTTCTACAAAAGCTTCAGAAGTATGTAACAACAGCAGACGTGGGAAGAATTTAAGAACACTAGCGGCATCAGACAAAGTGATATTATCCCAACTTACCTCTTCACTCTTATGATGGATGATGTCATCAAGTAAGGAGAAGACAAAGAAGTACTGGAGTATAAGACCAATTGTATATCAGAGCTGGAATTTGCAGACGATGTGACCCTGATAGCTAAATCAGAGGAACACCTTAAATACAACTTACTTTTCTGGAAAGAAGAACATGAGAAGTAGAGGGATGACCACCAGTATCTCCAAAACTAAAACCATGGCGATCTCAAAAGAGGAGAAGAAACACCAGAAAATGATGTGACAGTTTGCTTTGGAGCAGGTCAACCAGTTCAAATACCTTGAAGTTGTATTAGACCGAAACGAGGGCATTAATACTGAGCTGGCTACATGAAAAACAGCTGCTTGGAGACTCTTCCAGACCATAAACCAAGGGTTTCAAGAAGACGAAAATGGCTGATTACCGCTTTACCTATGTACCAGTCCTGATCTATGGCTGTGAGTCGTGGGCAATGATAACAGTTCACAGAATCCAGCTTCAAGCGTCATAAATAAGTTGGTCCAAGGTACAAGAAGTGACAAGTCCGTAATGAGACAATACGCCAAGATCTTGATACACAGTCCATACAAACCCGAGTGGATCAGTCCCAGTTACTATGGTATGGACATGTATGCAGAATGGAAGAAATCGGTACCATGGGAGGCTAAGAACCAGGGAATCAGACTTTAAGGGCGACCCATAGTCCGCTGGGAAGACAACATCCGACAGTTCCTAACTGACAGAGGACTGGAATAGAACAAAGCCAGAAAGAAAACTGCAGATAGAGACCTCTGACGATCTCTCTACACCCTAAGTAGAAGAGCAGAGACTAAGTAAAAGGTCAAAAATACACCGCCTCCGCAAGGTCAATAACACAAGAAGAGACAAGATTACGAATACAAACATTGGAGAGAAAGTTGGAATAAGACCTTGTTTGGTATATATTGACAGATAGAATGAAATGCTAAGACCATCTAGTGAGAATGCAGACCTACAAAACTCCACATGAGATTTTTCACAGCAGAACATCGGGGAGGAAAGCGAGGGAAAGACTTACAAAAAAATGGACCATCATCATCATCATCATCAGGTGCCTTGCCGACTGGAGTGGGCGATCATGCCTCTCCATAATCTGCGATCTCCTGCAGCATGTATCAGTTCGTGTGCCGACACACCTCCATGCCATGCAACAAGACTGTCAAGCATCTTCTCTCGATGTCTTCCTCTATCCCTCCTTTCACAGATCTTTTCAGTGGTCACGGTATGTTGTATTTTCCCTCTTCTCATAATATGGACAAAAAATGATGACTGTCTCCTTCTGATGTCTGTGATAAGTTGTCTTCGGGCTCTCGTCTGTTTCAAAACCTTGTTGGCTATCCAAGGTATTCTAAGCATTCTTCTGTAAAACCACATCTCTGAGGCCTCTTGAAATTGTTTGGCATACCGATTGTCCAGGATTCATAGCCATATGTTAAAACTGGATGTATGTAGCAAGCAAGAATTCTTTTTCTAACTCTCAATGACAAAGATATATTGCACAAGATGTTTTTAATTTTATAAAATGCAGTTTTTGTCTGCCCTATTATGTTTCTTATCTCAGTTAAGCATCTTCCATCTGATGTTATCCATGTGCCAAGATACTTAAATTTCTTTACTTGTCCTAAAATAACACCATCAACTTTTATTACACACTTATGAATAATTCATTTCTTTGATACCATTACTTCTGTCTTCCCATTATTCAAACTGAGGCCCATTCTTCCACTTTCTAACACCACAATGTCTATCATTTCCTGTAGTTCTTTCTGACTTGTTGCTGTCAAGACTGTGTCATCAGCATAACGTAAATTGTGTTTATTGTGCCCACCAACCACAATTCCGGGCATATCAATTAAAGATCTCATTATATTTTCACTGTATATTGAAAACAAATCAGGTGAAAGTACACATCCTTGTCGTACGCCCCTCTTTATGCTTTGAAATGTACCTAAACAGTTGTTTATTCTTATAGCTGCTGTTTGCTGCCAATACATATTCTTTATTGTTCGTAGATATTTCCCATCAATGTTTAATTTTCTAACAGTTTGATTACTTCTTCATGCTTCACACAGTCAAATGCTTTTGTATAGTCTATGAAGCACAAGTACAAATCAGTCTTTACTTCCATAGCTCTTTCTGTCAATGTCCTTTGGATGTATATGGCATTGTTTGTATCTTTTCCTTCTACAAATCCACATTGTTCATCGCTGATTTCTGGTTTAATTTTTTTTTTCTTATTCTTCTCATAATTATTCTCAGTAAAATCTTAGCCATGTGACTCATAAGACTTATTTTGCGATGGTCTTCACATTTTAAAGTGCCTGGTTTCTTTGGCAGAGCTATAAATATGGATTTTAAAAGGTCATTTGGAATGTACCCACTATTATAAATATCATTTAAAAGTTTAGTTATTATTTCAATTCTAAAATCTCCCAGTGCTTCGATTTCTTCCAGTGAGATGTTGTCTGGCCAGGGTGCTTTTCCTTTCTTCATATGATGTATTACATCCTCAACTTCTGCAGTCATTATTGGTGGACCATCATTGTTGGTCTGCAGTTCTACGTCTGAAAATTCAGACGAAGCAGATGAACTAATCTATACAGACGGATCCGTTATACGCCAAAAAAGAAGCGCATGGGCATTTACAGCACGCTCAGCGGGCAGAACAGTCAAAGAAGCCAACGGCGCCTTCTCCGTGACAACCAGCTGCATGACGATGGAGGTGATGGCAGTGACGCAAGCGTTTGCCTATCTTGAAACACAAAAATACACCCGCATATGTATACTCAGTGATTCAATGAGTATGATCCGGAGGGTTCAGCCAGGTAAAGTGCAAAGACAATGGCTTGAATCATTACAGAAGTCCACCGTGCATGGAGTCACCTTTATTTTTGTTCCGGGACACGCAGGCGTTGATGGAAATGAAAGAGCTGACAGGTTGGCTGGACCCGCTATCACTACCGACGGTCGGCCTATGGATCATGCTGATATTATCAATGCCCTCAGAGAAATGGGAAGGATGGAGGACTTTGTTGGCAGTGAATCCACATCACTCGCCAGAATGGCAGACTTGGGAATTAAGATCGGCACAGCAAAAAACGAGACGCACACCGGACACGTCAGAAGACTTGTTAATCAACATAGAACTGGTACTATTAGCCATCGGATGTTGGGGTTCATACTGAGGGGAGGATCTGAGCACCTATGGACATGTCCGGAGTGCAATGATGATAACCCAACTAACAAACTAACTAAGTTCTACGTCTGGTCTATTATCATTATACAATTCCCTTTTATACTCTGTCTATCTGTTAATTATATTACTATGTCCCGTTAATAAGTCACCATCTTTTGATTTCAAACATCCAGTGCTGTTACGTGTCATCTTTCCTGTTTACATATTTTTCTGTTGGTACATGGAATGTGAGTCTTTCCTGTGATTTTACCCAGTCTCTGTACACATTTGATTCAGCCAGGCTTCTTTAGCCACTTTGCATTTGTTCACTATTTCTTTTTGTATTCTAGAGTATTCTTCTTTATCATTCTTTTTCTTCCTTCTTTCATCCATCAACTGCAGAATTTCAGTTGACATCCATTTCTTTTCTTTTGCAACTCTATGGGTTGGTGGGATTGTCTCTTTTGATGTCTGCTGAATTGACTCACGCAACATATCCCACTGTTAATCAATAGTCTGTATAATTTCCATTGCATTATACCGGTTTTGTACAGTGACATTGTACTGGTCCTTAATTGGTGGGATAAATGGTGTAAATGAAACCTGCAAAAAAGATGAACAAATCTATCACCCAAGCAACCCGAGAAGCATAAGACAAATACAGAAAACCACGACACTGGGCTACAGTCTGGTATCAGTGAGACGACAGAAGAAGAAGAAGAGCACACCCTCCCCCCCCCCCCCATCCCGAGCCCCTTTCCCAGGAATATTCAGATCGACACAGACTGCGACAGTCAGGATATTTATTCACACAAATATGTTCGACGCTCAGGATTATAAATGGGATATAAAGTGTTCGACTGGCGTAGAAAATCTTGTATGAAGGATTTATTAACCAACTCTGTTCTAATCTTCATAGGGTCACAAGAGTTAATTTATACGTTAAAACCACTACACACACACGTACATACATTTACCGACACTACCTTTGATATCTAAGTAAAAGACATGCATACACACACGCGCGCGCACGTTTGAAATTAGAGGATTGGCCGTCGATATATACCTTATATTCTAGGTTTCAGAGCTGACACACACTACTATGTTCTAAATTCCATAGCCGAAAATAAGATTGACGCTTCGTATCATTTCTTTTTCGGAACTAGTTACGAACTCAGGCCCAGTTCCGACCCAGCTGACTTATCATTGATGATTGGTCAGGCTGGTCTACGTTAGAGGGTTGTAGAATGCACTCTTTAATGGAACCTAGGTTCAGTGTGTGGGGTAGGGGGTTGTGGTTAGGGTCAGTTGTAAAGGTTATGTGGTCGTTAAAACCGCTCACATTCTGTAATATAGAGCATGTGGGGTCGCTGGTAAAACCGTCGAGACAATACAACGTCGCACCAACCTGACATGCCTGCCACTTAAACTTTATCATCTCAAATGTTAACAGGCATGAATGAACGTCCAATCACAGTGCCATAGCCCGACTTTGTAACCCATAAGTGTGTAGCCGGAAAAGATTTACAACCGAACGAAAAGGGGTCCTTAAATATGGCCTAACAGCTGATTTCCGAGACCTCTCCACACGTAATCATCATCCGCATGGTGGCACTTTGCGTCACCGGGTGTTTATCGCTTGTGTGATGTCCTGGTGGGGTACAACTTACCTGTCTACCTGAGTTCATAACATGTTTCCCCTCCTTTCTGATCTGTGACGTAGTATTTCAGCTCTGTTATACTCCTTATGCAGGGGGTTTTGGAATGTGAGGACCTAGGGATTTTGTTTAGTTACCTTAAGCCACCCGCGGCTATCGGCAATTATCCCTTCTGACGGCCAGGTGTCGGCCCCCCCTCCCCCAAACAAATAGGGCCCCTGCCCCCAATTTGTAAAGAGGCTAAGTAGCCCCATCCCCTTTACCACGTATAGTTCTCTTTTTAAGAAAATGTGTAATGGGGCAACTCAGCCCCAATGTTTTCTGTGCGCCGGCGCCCCAGAAGTGATTAGTCAGAGACAAAAAGGTTTCCAGTCGGCCGTGATGGGTGCGACGTTAAGATGACATATTACACAAAGAAGAACAGAGGCATGAAGAGAAACATGAACATAAAGAGAGCGGAGAACTCTTGCCTCTAAAAGTGTTCAAGCGGAAGTATAAAGAAATTCAACATGGCTGCCGTGTTTCCCATTTGTCTAGGGCGGTGTATTTTTAACTCATTTAGTCACAGTTATATGATGTGACATTGGCGGGGATTAAGACAGAAACAGCTGAAATGACGCAGCACGAAGCAGTTTTGCGGGGATACTTATCAAAGGTATTTTATGTTGAACAAATTGGTCAATATTATAAACGATTGATTGTTGTCTACTGTAGTACAGTCAGATTTGGACCAAATCATTTGACTATTTATTTGTTTGTTGAGTTGAGATCCACAGTCAGCAGAGTTAGTGACAACAACAATTTGATTACAAATTGTTGTTAGTAGTAATACAATTATTAATTAAAAATTAAATTTCCAGTGATTCCTAAAAATAAAGATAGTTTTTAAAATATAATATAAAATAAAGTAATAAAGTATAATATAAAGTTACGTTGAGCAGTTTGGGTGATGATTTAATTGTATTGAGTATTGGTTGAGGCTCTCCTCCGAACTTCTAAACGATATTATGGCGGCCATAAAATATCCTTATGGGGTTCAGTTCTATTAAAAATATGCCGGCTCCGCATAACGAAACAAATGCTCTAACAGGGTCTCAGCTATATGTTACTTGTGGACCTGTTTCTGTGACTATGCCTCACCGCCGACCGTGTCCCCCGTGCCGCTATTTATCCTAGTTTTGCCGCGATTTGCTACTTAGCAGAAAGTCCGCATTTTACATATGCCTGAGCCCCGTAAGGATATTTTATGGCCGCCATAATATCGGGTAGAAGTTCGGAGAAGAGAGCCATTGTATTTATTAACTTCACATGATGTACTAAATTACTAAAATATAGAATGTCAAATGTTTTTTTTGTTTTTTTTTCAGTCTTTGATTTTGAAAGCTGGAGGAATTATTATTAGTTTATACGTTATTCTTTTGTTCTAGCGGTTGAATCAGTGGACACGATCCTACATGGGTGACAAACTTCACTTCTTAGAAAATGAAAATTTATCTCAAGGCCACATGATGACTAATAGTAAAAAGAATAACAAGCCTGTAGCTTAATGGATGTTAACCCTTTGGAGACGGAGCCTTTTTAGAGTTTCGGTGTCAAGAAAATGGAGCCTTCACTGTTCAGGAGGGAATTCTCATAGTTTATACACAAAAGATTATAAAAAATTAAGCGTTTAATTAACATATACAAAACTATATATATATTCGTGTAGGAAATTGAATGAACTAACATAATATTTATGAATCAAACTGAAATCTCAACATTTATTCAAATTAACTATTCATATTTGCATAATTTATGCAAGCAATTAAAAAAAAAACTTGGAAACAAACATAACTAACCTGAACAATTTGGTTGAATTGTTTTATGGATGAAGCTTGAATAAGTCCTAACACCTGTATTTTGGAAAGTAAGACCCTTGGAGACACGTGGTAACACCAAAGAAGGTGTTTAATTCACAATATTAGTTGTAGCAGTTCGAATAGTAATTTTACTAAAAATATTAATATCCTGTTCCACAGTATGTTTCTCTTTTCAACTCTTTCAAACTTAAGGAAAAGCTTTTATTGATTTGTAGCTCAACTTATTGGAAAATAGAAGAAAATAAAACAACTGCTTTATGACTGAAAGATTAATACCTATTGTTATTAATTTGTTCTATCATAACGGTTACTTTAATTTTTTCTGTCCTGTAGTTTTATTACTTTAACCCATAAAGATATACATATTGTTACTAAAAAGTACAACTCCGATTGGGTCTGATGAAGTAACAACCGAGGCTTATAATTCTCTGTGTGGGTTTTCGGCTCCATTTTGGGGGGAAAAAAAGAATAGACCCACCACCTCCCCAACAAGCATGTCGTAGAAGTCAACCAACTGGGGGGCTTCCTTCAAAGTCAGAGTGCATCTGCCCGAGGGACGAGGAACAACCAACTGCATATAAATAAGCCAGTAAAATGGATGTACATGCAAAACTCAGGCGCTGGAACCAAGCCAGAGTCTAAATGAACGAACAACCAGGACTTTACACCAGAGCTTACAGCCGGTGAACAAAGAAAACGGATAAAGTTAAATCATTGAGAGTGGAGAATAGTCAAACTGAATTTTCTGTAAACATTCCTAATGGTTAAAAAAAAATTGCTTTTTTCCCGACAGTCACACATAAAAGGGTGGTTTGGGATGTTGTGTTCTAATTTACAGCTGGGCTGCAATATCTGCATATTTTAGCCAAACACATCAAATTTCAGCAAATTATTAATTAGGTCAGGGGATCTGTTCTGATTTTCTGTCCCAGAATTCTTTACAGGTTGTAGCAGAACCAACCCCAGCATATTTTGGCTGTAATGGTTTTTCTAGGCAAATATACATCCAGTAGTCTGCCATTGCTTTCTGGGTGGTTGGCTTTTCGATATCACTGTCGAAACTAACGCAAGGCCCCCAGCTGGGATCGAACCCGGTACCTGCGTTCGCAACGCCTAAGCCAGAGAAAGGCTGGACAACCAAGAAGAAGCAGAAGATAGCCTACATTCCTGCTCATTTTAAGTTAAACATAGTAAACTAGGAACCAAAGATTTAATATACAATTATAAATTTTTGCTTATTTTTTTGTCCAGTACATGCAACAATAGTTAAAATAGGAGATGATATTAATATACATTTCTGCCTTTTCCCCCCTCAGTACAAACATCCAAATGAAACAAGACAAGATATTCTAAACACTTTAATACAGTACAAAGATTTGAGACCATCGCTCAGCCCATTTGGTAAAGTTGTCTCATTTTGTCTGTTAACCTCCCTTTAAATGACTTTGATAACATTTATTTTAAATGGATACTACTGTTTCAATATTTATTTGTGCTTTTGATTTGTGTGTGTGTGTGTCTGTCAGTATTATATGTTAATATGACTAAATAATAATTCCTTAAACATTATAAATTATGCTTGTCTTTCTTTGATAACTGGTTACTCCTCTCACCGTCCAGTCCTTTTCCAGGGTAGTGGTGCCTTGTATAGTATAATCAGTTGCCTCTGTGTTACTAGGCCTTTCTTCCTCTCCTCCTATATCTCCTTCTTTTCTTCTTTCATTTACCTCTTCAAAGCATTTGTTGGGGAAAAATGGAGGGGAGAACGGTGTAATGATCTTCTTTTTCCTCTTTCTGATGCATTGTATAATTTGAATTTCATTTCTTTAAGGCTTCTCATGCATTCATATCATATTTTGCATGGTCTTCCCCTTGCTGTGTATTCATTCTGTGCAGTTGGAACCAGGACATCAGATGGCCAGCAATTTCATTTATTTGTTCTTTGATGAACTTCTTTTTCACATTCACCAGCTGTATACTCAGACGGAACGTTCTAGCTGTACATCGACCTCTGGACTTTAGTCTTGTTTCAGAACCTGAGTGTTGCGTGCACATCCATTCTACGGACATGACTTATTTAAGAAGCAAAGTGGGTATCCAGCCTCAAAAGGCTGAACACTATATACCCTATCAGCAAAATTTGCTATCTTTATCATACCTGATACATGAAAACTGGGATCTGAGGTGATGTAAAAATGCCTGATTTCTAAACTGCCAGAAGGGTGCCAGGCAAGATGTTTTTAATCGTTAGCAAACAATATACTGTTCAAATCTACATTTGAACACACACAAAAAATGACATTGGCTCCCAAGACGTCCCAGCTTAAAATGGGTGTCAGGTAAATTCCTAAAGAAGTAAATACAGCCGAAATGATAAATGACGTCACTCATCGAGTGCCGATTGTCTATGAAAATTTGGGTTTAGCGGTTAAGCTTTAGGAGTTAAGAACCGACCTCATAGCATTTGGGACATTGCCAGGGGTTCTCTATCCTCATCTTCAGCAGCAAAGCGCAGTTCTAAATCTGATGGTACCAGTAACAAAGTAATGGTATGTCTGTCTCCCCCCTCTCCTGAGTGTTTAGTGTCGGTCAGACCCCTGGTCACTCCTCGCTGCACCATTCTCTTCAGACCATGATGGTCTGTTTGTGCCTCTGCACTGCTTACTCACTCTCAAAGGGCCCTTACAACATCTTGCTTGTCATACATCAACTTACCACCAGGTACTGCTCGATCAGCCAGTCTGTCTCGGTTCAGCAGTAAGTGCCCATTGTGCCAGTGGCAGAGAATAGGTCCTTTACTTAAAACAAAACAAAACACATGAGGCATAAGGCTTTGGCAAAGTAAAGGACAAAGACACAAACGGCGTCTTCTCCATGACAATGGAGGTGATGGCAGTAATGCAAGCATTCGCGTGGCTCAAAACACAAAACTACACCCGCGCATGTGTACTCAGTGATTCAGTGAGTATGCTGCGGAGAGATTCAGATTCTTATTATTACTAGATTGTGTCTTTCTCTTATAGAGCAGCTCTGATTAGTCATTAAGATTCACTGTTGATGCATCATGTCTTCTTCTTATAGTCCAGCTCAGACTGGTCATTAAGGTTCTGATTATTGGTGTATTGGGTCTTCCTCTTATAGTCCAGCTGTGATTGGTCATTAAGATTTTAATTATTGGCGCTGTCACGTAGCCAGCAGAACACTCCAATGCTAGTAGTTCCGTCCACACTCTGTATATCTCTATGCAAATTATCTGTATTCAAATATGGACTATTCCACCATAAGTAAATAGTCCTTCTTTAATAAGTATGAGTCGGGATATATGTAAAGGAACTTTGTTTCATCCTAAATCTATTGGGAGTGAGTTATATTATAAATTCTAAGTGTGTTTGCGCCATTTAGAATTCTGCAACAAAAATCGACTTGGACTGAGGAGAGGAACTGATCAAAAATTCTCTACAACTGATGATAAGTACATAAGACCAGAAAGTACAGCCAACCAGTCATTTTATGCCATGAGCTTACTATTACCTTGTTACATCATCAGTACAGTGATGGACAACAATCAGGGAATTGATGTCAGGCCTGTAGTCATTCCTGTCTCATTTATGAGACATTTAATGTGTCATACTGTTCTATTTTTCTTTCTTCTATATCAGTTCATTTAGATTTCTTATATTGTTTGGAACTTATTACATCATGCATTGTTATTCTGAACTTACCTTTGTTGGTGTCTGGTATTTCACAGTTCACTTAAGTTAGATCTGTGTGTGTATTGTTGTACTATCAGATTTCTGTTGAAACTGTTTTTTATTTTGACTGTAATAGTGATCCTGTCCAGTCTGGGGGCTATTAAGTGGTGAGGAAGTCTAGCCAAGTTGTGCCCAGGAAAATTTTGTGGAAATTCTGTGGTGCTAAATACTTGAGTTGCCTCATCCCTGAAGTGGTGTTGGATGGTTGTTGGAGCTGCGGAGTACCGCCTAGACCAATACGAGCCGCAATCACAACAATATATCACTTTAGAGTGTCTTATATTACTAGGGGAGACCCTAATTTAGACAGGTGCCAGGTGCCTCATGTCTTCTTTTGTTTGCATATAATCCTATTGTGATTGGTCAGTAAGTTTCTAATTATTGGTATAATATGTCTTCCTCTTATAACCCAGCCATGATTGGTCCAAAAATATGGGGCTACCATGTGCTTGATATATTTGTTACTTAGTCAATCCTCTTCTCAATGGGGTGTAGAGGTTTGTCAGAGAGATCACCAGACTTCTCCGTCAGCAGTTTTCTTATGGGCTTTTTTCATTCCAGTTCTTTAGCTTGGTTCCACTTCAGTCCTTTGTCAGTGTCAGACTCTCGGATGTTGTCTTCCATGTGATCCCTCGGTCATCCTGGAGGTCTGGTTTTTGGCCTGCCACATGACAGATATCTCCCATTCTGCATTAAAAAATATATATATGCTGAGATTAGTTATGCTACATCCAGCAAAAGATACGCAGCTAACTTAACCTAAATGACTGTTTGAATCACTTTTCTATTTATCCATAACATTAATTACACCTGACTTGGAAACCACATTTCTTATGCCTTAAGAAGTTTCTCAGCTTTCTAATTATCTATGTTCCTTATGCATACATTAGCGTATAACATACATATATACATATACTTGTAATTTGAGCTAACTTGTAATGTAAAATGTGTATATTGATTGGAGGGCAACATGTGCAGTTTATTGATCTATAACATGCACAAAAATAATATAAGAAATATTTTAAATAAGCTCAACAAGGTTAGAGAAATCAAAAATACTCTGTTGGGTAGAAGCCTGTTGCCACTTTTCCATTTCTCTAAAATTTGATAGTGTAGTTGCTGGAAATTATCACTTGTCCATTTTTTGGGTACTCTTTAGGTGGTATATACAATATACCAATTTCAATATGGGTTTTGGACACTCATCCTTACAACCCACCCATGGTGTTTGTCAAACCAACAAGCACCATGCAGATAAAGCCTGGCCGTTACGTTGATGCAAATGGTAAAGTGGACATGCCTTTCATACGAGAATGGAGACATGTAAGTACAGTGGTCAGATGTCACATATGTAACATTTCTGTTTCCCTAGGTACGTTTCAGGGTCCCAATGGGGAAGGGGGGGGGGAATATTAGAACCCCCTCCCCAGCAACCATGTCGTAAGCAGCAGCTATTTAGGATTTGTGTTAGAATAAAAGGCGCAGATATTGCAGCCTGGCTTTAAACCACAACACAACATGGCAACCGCCCTTTTCAATTTGAACACAGAGGAAGAATATTATACTTGTGTTTAATGAGTTGTGAGTTAAGAACCGGCATCACTGAGTTCAGGCCATTGACATAAGTGCTCCGCTCCCATCTTCAGCAGCAGGCGCAGTTCCACTGCTAATGGTATCAGTAACAATCTGATTGTATGTCCTTCTCGCCCCTCTTCTGAGTGTTGAGAGTCTGCCATACTTCTTTTTAAACTTCATATAAAGCAAGAGATTGAGTGGCAAATTAGACCTTCAGTGACATGACAGCCTTCTGAATGGAAACACAGTCAGTGGTGGCACAGTCAGTGTGACACAGTCAGTGTGACACAGTCAGTGTGACACAGTCAGTGTGGCACAGTCAGTGTGGCACAGTCAGTGGTGAAACAGTCAGTGTGACACAGTCAGTGTGGCACAGTCAGTGGTGAAACAGTCAGTGTGACACAGTCAGTGTGGCACAGTCAGTGTGGCACAGTCAGTGTGGCACAGTCAGTGGTGACCCAAATGGTAGTGACAAAGTCAGTGATGACACAGTCAATGGAAACAGTGGCAGTGTTTTTTGGAGCTTCTTGACTCTACTGAAAATTCTAAAGCACATCTTCTCACAAGGATTTTCTCATAAATTCCTGTAAGTTAATTAAATAAAAGCTGTAAATTAAAAGACCTTTTTAAGTAAAGGATCCTTTTCCACGCCTTTAGGCATATTGGGCGTATAGGACCAAGTCTATATTTTGTAGACCAGTTGGCACATGGTGGGTGATGTGGTCAGCACCACACCAGCTGCCTTTACTTCCCAAGATTGCATCTGGTACCCACTCAAGGCTGGGTCGATCTGGGAGCCAAGGTCATTTATGAAAAAGTCCAGCTCTACCAGGACTCGAACACATGACATTCCGATCCACAGGCGACCGTCTAGCCGCTACATCACAGTGATTCCCAAATAAAAGCTGAAATGTTAAATTGGCTTAGTCTTCTGTGTAGTCAGTTTCTTGTATTTCCTTCCCTAGCCAACATCTGATCTTCTTAGCCTAGTACAGATTCTCACCTTCACCTTCGGAGAAGAATGCCCTGTATTTTCAATAGCCGCAGGACAAAGACCGCCACCAATGCCATACCCAGGTCAGACACCATATCCGCTGAATCCGGGAGGTCAGTTTACCTGTAATTGTGTGGTATTTGAACATTTATTTTTGAAGATTAATTTTTCTTGATATGTGTATTGCTGCATGAATATCATATGTGTGTAGCAGCGGTTACATTGTGGCTAACATTCTTGGCTGACTGGCTAAACTACTTGAGGGAAAAATCATCATCATTTGCCGTGCCAGTAAGCATAGGCCTGGGCCATTCAGCTATGTTTACTGAAGGGCCAAAATGTTGATAATCAAGGTTCTTTGTGGGCCACATGCCAATTGAATAGCCCTGGCATAAGCTGTCGTGTTATGTCACCTCACACGGTCACCAGAAGCACAGATGAGGCCAGTGTTCTTTGTCTTTCTCTTGCCCTTTCATCTGTTGTGACCAAGGAAAAACTATTTTGCTGTTTTTAGTACAAAATATGTGAAGTATTTGTAGATGTGACAAGCCATCAAGGAAGATTGGCTAATAAACAGCATCTTGTCTCAGAAGCGGAAATATTTTGGTCATATCAAGCGCCACGACGTATTGGAAAAACAATAATAGCAGGAAGGAGGGGCAGGAGCTGACTAACACAAAGATGGGCTTATGGTATAAGTTTCTCTCTTTGAATATGAAAGTACATGAGGTGGGAGAGCTGGCGAGTGACTTATTTTCTTTCAGGCAGACGTAAGAGCGATGTTCTGCAAAGGAGGAGCTACATGGTGACGATGATGATGACAAGCTATCACTTGAAGTGTGGTGACAGAGTTAGTCTTCATTTCCTTAAGTTTGTTCTTGACACCGCCGTTCCATTTTTTTATTTGAAACCAGAAGCACTTGAGCATAGCTCATTTGACTCAGTGTCTTGAGCACCAAAGCCCTTCAACCTTGGTGCCACATACACTGTTATACTGGGGAGTATGCAGCTTTTCTGCCATCCCCCGGCTTGAACCCAAGACCAGACTTGCATGAGGATTGTCACCTGATGTTCAACACGCTGTCAGCTACACTGGAGCGTCAGGCCAAGCTTTTTCTTTTTCTACCCCTGGCTGTGTGCTCATTATATGTACATTTTTTTTTAAAACTTAGCTCTCTCTGGTATAGTTGGTATCTGGGCATTCTTGTCAGATGATCCTTTTTTTTGTGTGCTGTTCATTTAATAATTGCATGATGATTACAATCAAGATCTTTTAATTTCTTTATGTTTAATTTTATCTTTTACTTACACAAACATTTTGATTCAAATTCTCCCCAGGAATGCCAATGGCTGGCTTGCAGTACCCTCACGCTGGTGGCACAGGAGCTCCTGGTTATCCCCCTGCTTCTGGCTATCCATATCCACAAGCTGGGAACTATTCCAATGTCAGCAACCCACCCTACCCTAGCTACCCTCCACAAAACACTGGGTACCCTCCACCCTACCCACCCACCACTTCGGCCCTTCCTTACCCGAACACACAGCCTCAGAGACCAACAAACTATACTGGTGCTGATTTGGGCTATCCTCCATCACAGTTTAACAGCCAGCCTTCTTACCCTGCCGGAAACAGTGTTGGTAAGTAGCACTCCTAGGTTTTATCATTTTTTTAAACTGCAACAATATATTCATTCCAATATTAAGCTACCAGTGCCAGACATGGACACTATCCAAAGGCCATGTATACAAAATCACCACTTGCGAGATAAGATGCCAGAGAAAAGTGCCAACCTAACCATCCGAGATCGAGTGAATTATGATGCTATCAGACAAATTGTGGGAACGACACCTTGTACTAAATTCACTGAGAAACAGTAGATGAAGTGGTTTGGCCATCTCTTTAGAATGCAGCAAGAGCAAATACCATCACAAGCACTACATCTCAGAAGATCAGCTACGAGGGCAAGAGGACGGCTGCCAAAATATGGATTGACAACATTAAATTAAAGATACTTTATGCCTTCATGGTATGACAATAGCCAGCAGCAGCCATTATGCACTGGATCACAAATTATTCCTCCCCACAATGCTTAATGGCAGAAGTGGTTTATGATGGTGATACAACTTGTTATGTACAGACAACTTGTCAGAATTTTGAAGTGATATATGTTGAAGTTGTATTTCTTCTTTTGTCATTATTGGCTTTGTGCTATTAGGTGTCACAGTTTGAAGTATGCTGGGTATGTAACTCAGGGTACACTCAGCTGCTTGTTATCTATCCTGTGATGTTGTGAGGTTTTGAGCTGTCAGTGACTCCTTCAATCCATTTTCTTCTAAGTTTGTCTCATGGTGTTTCCAGTTTCATGTATGCCAGCATTGTTGGGTTCATTTGTTGGCTGAACTATTCCTGTCTTTGTTTCTCTGTAAATCGTTTCTCAATGAATTTAACCCTATCAGACCTGAGGCCCTGAACCTAACGGTCCCTATAACCTGAGCTCCTGGGCATTGCCGCGAAAAAAACCAACATGATATACAAAAATATTAGCTACATGCAAACAAGTGGCTAGAATATGATGAAATTTGGAGACATTGTAGAAAATAGGCTTACCTTTTATCTAGCGCCAATATTCCACCTTTGTGTGCGAATTCACTCATCAGGATCAACTTTGTTTCAAAAGTGAACACCAGATGTTGCCATTTGATGGACGCACCCCCTTCTCCTACTATCGATCTATTTCAAGATTGATAATTTTCAAGATTTTCCTCATCATTCGCGCTCTCACTGACAGTGTCACTTCAAGAACATATTCTTTATGAAATTATCACAGATAATGAATATATATACGCAAAAAAGCCCAAAATTAGGGCCAGCGGTATGGAGACAGGTTAAGAAATTCCTGGTAAACCGGGCCAGCGGTCTGGTAGGGTTAATGATGGGTATTGTTCCAACTTGTCTATCAAGCTTGTGTTCTCAGCACTCTGCTTTATGGCAGTGAAACTTGTTCAACTTATTTGCGCCAGGAGAGACGTCTAAATAGCTTTCACATGTGATACCTAAGAAGAATGCTTGGCATTAAGTGGCAGGACAAAATCACAAACACTAAGGTACTGGAAAGAGCAGGTACTACAGCAGTCTTCTCAATGCTCAGTCTACATAGGCTCAGGTGGCTGGGTCACACCTGGAGGATGGCAGATTCCCTAAGGACATCCTTTATGGTGAATTAAAAACGGGTAGAAGATGATGAGGCCGACCTCTACTGCGGTATAAAGATGTGTGCAAGCGGGACATGAATACAGGTATTGAGGCGGACACATGGGAATAAAATGCCATGGGTTGTGTTGTTTGGAGAGGGTATATCAGGAAGGGAATGGGAGTGAAGAAAGAAATGATTGCAGAAAAGATGAGAGCTGATCATCTGACAAGAAATGGATTAAACACAAATATTGACAGCAATGGTACTGAAATTCCATGCTATCATTGTGGAAGACTTTTTTTTGACACAGGCGGGTCTTGCTAGTGACACTCACCATCGCCATAGGCTCTTCATAGCGAAGTATAACACTATAGTCTGGAAAGGTGCCAATCAATCAATCATAAATCATTTGTTCCAAAGTTCTTAGAATCCCTTTTTTTTCTCATAAGATTTCTTCTGGTTTTGTTTGCAGCCTTTCTTAAACATTTTTTTTTCATAAGAACTCCTCTTCATATCATTATCTTTGTAAGACTGAACTAATCTATCATTAGTTCCCAATTCTACAAATTGTTCAGAATTAGTTCAAATATGAACAATGGAGATTGATGAAGCTGTAACGCGATGTTCATATTGATTGTCACTTATATCATGGACAAAGAAGAAAACTACTACTTCTTTTGTAATGCTAAACATTCAGTTCTGCCTGGGTAACAAACAGGATAATGCACCTTCCGCCGCCATCAGTTACCCACAACTTGTCTTGCAATGTATATTACGTGTCAAAAGAACAGGGTCACTTAGAAAAACTTTGGTTGAAACCATAAAACTGCATTTATTGAATACCAAATTGACATGTTACTTAGAGATTTGGAAATACACATTCAGACGCAACAAAGCTGTAAAGCGTACTACTCACCTTTTCAAAAAATCAAACAATATATATTGGACAAGTAAACATTTCAGCAAAAACTAGACCAGGGGCAAACTGCTTTAGTGAACATGTTCCAGTTGTAGGAAAAATTAGAATAAAACTAAAGAACATTAGAAAAACACCACAGAACATCACGTTAAATTTAGGAATTCTTAGAATAGATAAAGAAATTAAGGAACAGTACAAGGTCACTGTACAAAACCGGTATAATGCAATGGAAATTATACAGACTATTGATGAACAGTGGGATATGTTGCATGAGTCAATTCAGCAGACATCAAAAGAGACAATCCCACCAACCCATACAGTTGCAAAAAAGAAATGGATGTCAACCGAAATTCTGCAGTTGATGGATGAAAGAAGGAAGAAAAAGAATGATAAAGAAGAATACTCTAGAATACAAAAAGAAATAGTGAACAAATGCAAAGTGGCTAAAGAAGCCTGGCTGAATCAAATGTGTACAGAGATTGGGGAAAATCACGGGAAAGACTCACATTCCATGTACCAACAGATAAATATGTTAACAGGAAAGATGACACGTAACAGCACTGGATATTTGAAATCAAAAGATGGTGACTTATTAATGGGACATAGTTATATAATTAACAGCTGGACAGAGTATATAGGGGAATTGTATGATGATAATAGACCAGATGTAGAACTGCAGACCAACAATGATGGTCCACCAATAATGACTGCAGAAGTTGAGGATGCAATACATCTTATGAAGAAAGGAAAAGCACCCGGGCCAGACAACATCTCACTGGAAGAAATCGAAGCACTGGGAGATTTTGGAATTTGAATAATAACTAAACTTTTAAATGATATTTATAGTAGTGGGTATATTCCAAATGACCTTTTAAAATCCATAACCAGGCACTTTAAAATGTGAAGACCATCGCACAATAAGTCTTATGAGTCACACGACTAAGATTTTACTGGGAATAATTATGAGAAGAATAAGAAACAATTAAACTAGAAATCAGCGATGAACAATGTGGATTTGTAGAAGGAAAAGATACAAACAATGCCATATACATCCTAAGGACATTGTCAGAAAGAGCAATAGAAGTAAAGACTGATTTGTACTTTGTACTGCCAAAAAGAGCAACCAAGAGGTTTTAAAAGAGGCGGGAGCCCGAAGACAACTTATCACTGACATCAGAAGGAGACAGTCATCATTTTTCGGCCATGTTATGAGAAGAGGGAAAATAGAACATGTTGTGACCACTGGAAAGATCTGTGGAAGGAGGGATAGAGGAAGACAACGAGAGAAGATGCTTGACAGTCTTGTTGCATGGCATGGAGGTGTGTCGGCACACGAACTGATACATGCTGCAGGAGATCGCGGATTATGGGGAGGCATGATCGCCCACGCCAGTCGACAAGGCACCTGATGATGATGATGATGAAACATTTCAGAATTGGGTATGACCAGTAATGCATCTAAGACAACATAGACTCATCGAGTCTATAAGAGTCTGAAAAGTATCCTGAGGAGCAGCTTGCCATTACTGATGCAGAAATGCAGTCAGCTCGCAATATCCTTTGGCAGCGGGTGATTTGTTGATAGTCTTTTACCAAGGACATCTCAGCGGTGCTCAGTTAGAGAAAGGTCAGGTGAATGAACTGGCTACACCATCTTGATGATTCCTTGTTGCTGAATAAAGTCATTCACCACACAAGCTTGTTGGGGATGAGAGTTATCATCTTGGAGGATGGCATTAACACCTTTGGCCTCCAGGACAGGCTGAACATTTGGTCACAAGGTTTCATTCTGTGTATCTTGGGCTGGTCAAGTTGCTATAGATGATGTAGAGTGGGGTCCTGTCATGTGTGTAGAAGACACCCCAGACCATGACAGAACCCATTCCATTACAATTCACCACTTGGACTGTATTATCATAAATCGCTCCTCTGAACATCTCCAAACTCGAATACTGCCACCATTGAATGACACAGTAAAGCGAAACTTATAAATTAAAAAAAAGGACTTAACTTTATTGTTGCCTTGTCGATCGGATATGCTCGCGACACCAAGCAACAGTGGCTCTACATTGAACAGGAGTAAGAGCAATTATGGCTGCAGAGTGTGGAGCAGCCAGTCAAATTCATGTAAATGTCTACGAATGGTGCTTTGACTGACATTAACGTTTACACATTGTCTTAGCTGACATCTTAGAGAGAAACAAGTCACTGTTCGATGGCACAGGGCTGACAACTTGAGGTACCAGTCATCATGTTTAATAATGCACCTGGCCAGTTATGATTTTCCACACTTGTTCCCTGAAATCTCTCTTAAACGTTTTTGGATAATAGTTTGTGACACTGCAGGCCATCTAGCAACTTCACAGATAGGTAAACTTCTTTCAACCCACTCTATAGCCCTAATTCTTTGTAAGGTGTCAAGACTTCTTCTCATGCCATGCTTTGTGCAAGTGATGAACGAACCATAAGTCTGCTGATCGCTGAACAGATTAAGAGTGAACTCTGTTCACCAACAGTTGCCATTGCACATGGAATGTCGTTCAGCGCGGTTACTTTACCAGTTTGGCTGGAAGATATTGCACCCATTTTTACTAAAAACTTTCTTAATTTAATCATTCTATGCGCTTATTTAAAAGTGTATTGAAAAAATTAAGCGTATGTATTTTGCTCTGGTTGTACTCTCTTTCGGACTGCTGTTCTTCCTTGAGGATGCATCCAGTGTTGTATATATCTTTATGTAAAACAGTCTAGCTTAAAATAAAACATAATCTCCAAATATTTGTTGACATATCAAACTGAAACAGTGCTTGCTTTGACTCAACACTTTGCAGAGTTAACTGAAGGAAGTGGAAGAGAGGGGAGAAAAAAAGATTCCACGATTCAGTGCCATACAGGCCCGACATAAGATTTCAATATTTTGTTTCCTGACATTTAAGGAAACTGAATTATTATGAAGGATATATTAATTGTCTATTGTAATGCAGCTTAACAAACACAGAATCAAAATGAGGGAATGAACTGAATATGTTCTAATGTCTTTTTCAAGCTGACGGTGTAAGACCTACGATAACTCCTACTGGTACTGTTACGGAAGCAGACTTGAGAGCATCTTTGTTGTCTGCTGTAGAAGACAAGATGAGATGGAGACTGAAGGAGACTTTTGCTCAAGCACAGGTTGATTACTTTATTAACTAGCTACTGTAATGTTTTTTTTTTAAATTTTAATTGCTAAAAATTTACATTAAATGTCTCCAATCTTATACATTCCACAATTTTTTTTAAATACAGGATTCATATCTTTTGTTTTCTTGTTAAGTGATTCACTTAAAATGTATGTAGCTTTCAGACTGAAAGATCTATGGCATGCTACAAATGTGTAGTCCGTTCCAAAAGTTGTGCCTTCCTACTTTAAAAAAATGTCTGGAAAACTCCTGTACGGATCAATATGAATTTGTGCATGTGGTCTTAGATTTCCCATGTTCTTATGATTTCATAACAGTATCTCATTTTCTTTAGGTACAGGTGCTGCCATTTTCTTACACTGGGAATTTCTTTATTTACTTTTTATGAGCCAACCAACAAGCATTATGTCAGTATATGAGTTAGTCACTTCTTCTTCTTTTGTCATCTTACTGATACCAGGTTGTAGCCCAGTGTAGTTTTTTTCTGTTTTTGTCTTGCGCTTTCCGGGTGACTGATTTTTTGCAGTTTTCAGCTACACCATTTATCCATCTCTTTCTTGGTCTTCCTCTCTCCTTCCTCCCAGATATTTTACTATAAAAAGTCTCACATGCAGTCTGGTTTGGCTGAATGATTTCATTCTCTGTTGAAATAATCCAGACATGGTCTTGTTCCAACTTTCTCTCTAATGCTGGTATTCGTAACCCTGTCTCGTCTAGTGTTGTTAGTGACCTTGTGGAGACAGCGCATTTCACACGTAGTTATTTTCCGTTCTAGTGCCCTGTTCTGTTCATGACTTCAGTTTTCTAGTGTGCATCACAAGGAGGTGGGGTTAACCTGGGTGCTTTACAGGTCATTGGCAGGCTACTTAAATATCACTTTTCACCTCTCTGACATAAGGTTATTCACTTCACTATTCAAAATAAGCACGCCTTAGTTTTTTGTACAGATTACCTCTAAAACATGTGCAGTAGGATGTTTTGCAGAGTTCATGCTAGTCCATTTATTGTAAACAGCTAATTGTATGTTTTTAAGTGGTGTTTGTTTTTTCATGTTTCACAATTAAGACAGAATTAAAAAATAGATGTATGTTTAAATTTACAAGGACATGGTTGCATGCTAGATTTTAACATTTTACACTGAACGGTTACTGGATTACAGATTTTTAAAGTAGGGTGAGACTTTTGGAATGGACTGTAGCAGTTTTTGGATCACTTGTTTCTGCAGATTTTTGTTTGTTTTTTTGGTTGTTGTAAACAACTCATGACATTAGGCTCTATTAAAACTGTGCTTATAATAGTTTATTACAGGTACAGCTATTATTAATTGTTACTAAAATTAGATTTTCGTGTAAAATGTTATGGATATGTGAATGATCAGATCAAATCCATTTAGTTTCTTGGGCTTTACTTTGGAGAACAGAAAAATAGACACACTGCCCCCCTCCCTTCCCCCTCTCTTCCCTCCCAATTCCTCCAAGAAGCACATCGTATGAGGGGACTGATTAGGGGTGTTTCCATCGAAGTCAGAGAGCATCTGCCTCAGAGGCAAAGAATCAACAGTCTCTGTACAAATTAACCAGATCTGTAGTACAGATGTGTGCACACAAGACTCAAATTCTGGATCAAGACCAAAGTTTAGGAGTGGACGAACAACCAGAACTTTCCACCCGAGTTTATAGCCTGTGAACGTTAAGGAGAAGAAGAAGTAAATGAACTAATTGTCAGAAGAGTCTAATTTTGATCATTATTTCTGTACATTCCAGGCAGAGATGGATGTGCTGTATAAAACACAGAAGGATTTAAGCGAAGGAAAGCAGAAGTTGGAGACAATCATTTCAGAGTTAGAAAAGGAGAAGGTAAGCTGTTGTTTCACTCGATCTTGATCTGCTCATCTCATTATGTTGACTCTTTGGAATGTTTGTAGAAAATTAAGATTTTATGTTCACCTTCTGATCCTGGATGTTGGTCCAGGCAGCCAGTCTACCCAGACAGGGTCAGCAATTCTAAATTAAAAAGAACAGGTAAAATAGGCCACTGCTGATGCACAATTCTAAACTTAGAAAAACTGTTTACAAAAAAAAAGCTCACATGTACACACACAAAGATAATACAGACAAGATGGACAGACAGACAAACAGGGCAGACAGACTGTCACATACAGGACAGACTGACAGACATACAGGACAGACTGACAGACATTCAGGGCAGACTGACAGACATATAGGGCAAACAGTTAGAGATCAAGCATGGAGATTCTGGTGTGCACACATTGGAACCTTGCTACCCTTATGCACTGTGCTGAGGTTTGGTTGCATCATCTCTTGAAAAAAGGCTGGATCACTTATGAGATGGTGTATTCCCTATGTAATTTAAGTGTGTGATAAAATAATGTATAACAAGAATTGTTTCTTTTACATTTTTAACCTTTTAAAATAAATCATTGTACATTCAATTGAAAAATAAACATTTACAATATGAGCTATAGAATTAAGTTTTTTATTTTTGTAACAACTCATTCTTATTGTGATTTACTGTTTCTGTGACCAGGACGAAATCAATAGAAACATTCAGATCTTGCAAGACAAGGATAAAGAAGTGAAAGAGGCCATTCAGAAACTAGAAGGGCAGCATGATTTGAACATTGATGATGCTGTTGTTACAACAGCACCTTTATACAGACAGTGAGTATCATGTTGCTGTTCTGTTATTCACAGAGGTAGAAAACAAGTAATTGAGAGGAAGGTAAAGAGAGTAAGGAGTGAAAGTATAGGACAGAGTTACAGAAAGAAAGTTGGCAGTTAGAATAGGAAGAAAGTTGGAGTTAGAATAGGAGAAAAGTGTAGGAGGTAGTCAGAGAGAAGGGAGAGAGAAAGATTTGATGAAAAGAAAACTTAACTATAGACAAGAGATTATGGAAAGAAGATGAGTTAGAGAGGAGTGGGTTTAGGAGAGACAGAGAAGAGAGGGCAAGAGAGAATCAGACATGCTGTCATTTTAATAAATACAGCACTATCCATTATTCTGTGCATGTTTTATGGGTTTTGTCTCTTGTATCTGAGCAAATTTATTATGGGCAGAAATAAACAGGAAACCATTAAATATTAAGTGGACCACTAGAAAATTCCAACTATGAGGGTAAAAATTCAGTGGAATAAATCACTAGGGGAACCAGATTTTTATAGCATGCTGTGACCAAATGTAAACAGTCGGAGGACAAATTATGTGATAGTTGGGTTCTTAAGAAAGAACATCAAGCACTACTTAAGCTTGAAAGAGTTCAAAAGGCAATTACAAGCTCACAGTCCAGCAAGATTTTCACAGCAAGTTTTGATAAACATTCAGTGACTGGCATTCATAGAAGTAAAGATGGGAGGACGTCTTGACAACATAAAAATCAGAAGCTGTAGTTTCTACAGCAGGATGTTTTACCATACCAGGATGTTTTACTTTGCAAGGACTTTTTAACCATACCAGGATGTTTTACTTTGCAAGGACTTTTTAACCATACCAGGATGTTTCACTTTGCAAGGACTTTTTAACCATACCAGGATGTTTTACTTTGCAAGGACTTTTTACCATAATAGGATGTTTTACCACACAGGATGTTTTACCATACCAGGATGTTTGTCCCCTCTGGGTTGCTGCTTGAAAGTCCACCCCTCTGATATTAAAAAGAAAAAATCACAGTCTGGATAGCACTCACATACACCATTTAACTTCAAAAAAGGTATAATTAGGGCCCCCAATATGAATACACAAGCCTGGTCTAACTTACAGGGTACAATAATGTTAACTTACCCCATGACCTCACGATGACGTCACAGGAGACATTCAAATAATTTCCAGAGGGGTAATGGATTTTTCCCTTCTAGAGCACATCGCAAAAGCGCACGCTTGTTGGTGCCTCTTATGACGTGTGTTTACCGCACGCCAGCAGTCTTCATCTTTGCCGCGTCTGGTTGAGGCAGTTTTCATCTTTGTTTGCCGTTCGTTCCAGCCATTAATTTTCTACAATTAGTGGCATCTGTACGATACAAGGAGACCAGAATTGCTCTGCTGCAACAGCATGGCATTCTGCACAGAACGAGATGTTGCAGAAACAGCCATCAGACAGATGGTGTATTAGCGCTGTCGGAAAGACACACGACCGGTTGCCAGTGTCGAAAGTCCACCTGTCGCCTGGACACACCTGACACACCCCCGTGGCATGGAGCAGGGCTAAACTAGATAGCTTTGACTCACGAGCAGCAGTTACCGCCTGCAGCTTCCTCCTTTTTTTTTGCTCGTGAGTCCCAGCCATCTAGTTTAGCTCCCTCTGCGCCGCTCATAGCGGCACGGAGGATACTCTCAGCGGTGAGGTATAGTTGCCGGAAAGAGGTCCGCACTTAACATGTTACTGAGGCCCTGGTAGGGTATAGTTTGAGCCTCGATAATTTGGGACCGTTATTGGGAGGAAAGCCAAAAAAAAAAAAAACAATTTACATTTAATTTAAAAAAAACCAAAACATTTTACACCAAAAAAAGAAACCAGTCACCCAGCACCTTTCATTTTCATTTATAAGGTGGATATAATATTAACTACGCTACACATTCACATGATACAAAAACTTGACAGTATTGTACACCGGGCAATTGCACATCAACAAGCATCTGACTGCGCACCAACAGACAGATATATGCCACACTAAAAAAAAACACTAGAAGAGAAACGACAGCATCAGCACACTTGCACCCCTTGAAATAGTGGACTGTCTATGCAGCTCTGGGATTCCCACAGATTCCCCGTATTTGGGGTACGTAAAAAAATTTTGTACCACTTACAGTCCTGTGTGGTTAAGGACTTACATGTCACATTCTTGCCTTATATAGAGCAGCACAGAGAAATACTTGACTGAATTATGTGAATAATTAAATAATTTACTGCGGTTTCCAAAATGTAAGAATCTTTATCAAATGTAATTGCATGTTTGCAGACTAGTAGATGCTTTCGCAGAGGAACAAGCCATTGAAGATGCAATTTATTATTTAGGAGAGGCCCTGAGGAAAAATGTCATTGAATTGGAGTCATTTTTGAAGGTTTGTTGTTTCTTCTGTTATCTTGTTATCGACAGTGTTATGATTATTTATAAAACGATATAAGTGCTGAGTACTTTCTCTCTTTCTCTCACTGTGTCTCATTTGTAATCTCGGAGATTGCAGCCTGCTAGATTGATACCTAATGACTCAAAGTGCAATATTTTTCAGATGTGATTCCAACAGGGAACACATCTCAGAAACCTCTTCCATAATTTCAAATGTATTTTCGGGCACCTTAAGGGAACAAAGTAATCTTGAATTGGAGTCATTTTTGAAGGTTTCTCGTTTGTTATATTTTTTTTTTCTTATTATCAGCAGTGTTATGATATTTTTAATATAAAGAAGTAAGGAATGCGAAACAGCCAAAAAGAGCAACCAAGAGGTTTTAAAAGAGGCGGGAGCCCGAAGACAACTTATCACAGACATCAGAAGGGGACAGACATAATTTTTCGTCCATGTTATGAGAAGAGGGAAAATAGAACATGTTGTGATCACTGGAAAGATCTGTGGAAAGAGGGATAGAGGAAGACAAGGGGAAAAAATTCTTGACAGTTTTGTTGCATGGCATGGAGGTGTGTCGGCACACGAACTGATACATGTTGCAGGAGATTGCGGATTGTGGAGAGGCATTATGGCCCATGCCAGTCGACAAGGCACCTGATTATGATGAAGGGATGAAAATTCTCTCCCTCTTTTCTCCTCCTCACCCCCCAACCCTCAAATCTCATTTGTAATCTCTGTGATTGCAAACTGCCAGATTGAGACCTTGTGATTCAAAGAGCTATTTTTCCTATGTGTATCCAACAGGAAGAAATCCCAAGAAACCCCATTCAGCCATATAAACCAATGTACTAGGTCACCTTGAGTTAGAAAGAAACCAGTTATTCTGTGTTGAGTCTTCCACTTTTCTTCGTCATAAAGGTTCGCATCCACACGTTTATGACTGGGGCCACTGAGTTCGTGCATTATATAATGCTCTTGGCAGATGACCACCTGCTTGACAAAGATTTACTGAGCAGTGTGGAACAAAACCTGGTTCAGTGAAGTTGAGTCTCTCACCTTTGAACACTTTGAATTTATTCACCTAACTAGTGCAACATTTCCTTTAGAAAAGATAATGATGTTTTTAAATTTTAGCCGAATTGATTGTCCAGCAGATAAAACTGGAATGTTCGTCTTCTTGTGCATTTGCCTCCAAAGAACAGTTGGTACATTGTGTTGTGATTTACCACTAGACTGCAAAATCAGTGCCATTCGGCCAAACATTCAATTTCAGTAAACATCTAATCAGACACCTTATATGACACACATGTCAGTGGGTCCTTTCTCTTCCCCTTCCCCCAAATGAGGCCCTGTAACCCTCAGTGGAAACACTCTAGAATATATTTACTGCAACAGAAAACTCTGTTAGCTCAGCCACCTCTGGACTTTGATCTCATTCCAGAATTTGAGTTTTGCATGAGCGTATCCATTTTACAGATCTAACTTATTCTTCACCTCTCAGGTAGATGCACTCTGACTTCAAAAGAAAAAAAAAACCATAATAAGTCACCTTTTACAACATTCTGGTGGGTGGGAGGCAGTGGGTCTTCAGCCAATAAAGCCCTGAACTCACACAAAAGCGACTCTGAAATGTGAAGAGCACTGCTGTTGCCTCCAAGTAATTAGGTCAGCCACACTTGTAGCTTACAGCTTTTTCTGTACGGAGACTGAGATAAAATCCTGAGAATTGTTACAGTCAGGAATTATATAATTGTCATTGCTGTCTTTTATTCCTTTATCATTAAGAATTATTTATTCAGATCATTCATTCTGTTTTGTTTCCAGAAAGTGAGAGAACTTTCTAGAAAGCAATTTATGCTGAGAGCAACAATACAGAAATGCAGGGAGAAGGCTGGACTTCCTCCATTGGCCTGAATGATTCCTGAGCAAATACAAAAAAATTGTGGTCTTGTTAATATTATTGTGTCAACAAAGAACATGTTAAATGTCTTACAATTTATTACTTGTCTTACTGTTTGCAAATTTATTTAGTTTTGTTTTTAATTGATTATTCTGTAATAGTGATGTTGCTCTCCCCATTTACACAGTGTTGCACACTAGCTCACTTCTGATTGGTCAACCTTCAGCCTAGCTCACTTCTGATTGGCACAAGGTTACGGGGGTGTTCTGCATTTCGGCTGATATTCCATGTTCTGTATTTCAGCTTGCCAGCACTTTTAACACTCCAAAAACATCGACAAACTGGGTCTAACACAACACCCCTTAAGAGAGTGCTGAAACCTATGTCACAGGCATTCTCTTTCTCTGAATAAAAATTTAAATGCAAGACAACCCAGAAAACAAACAACAGAGCGGTACACACTAACCTCCAGCAAGGCAGACCAGTTCAACAAACTTATCAATGGAACGTGACCTACTTTGTTTGGAGAGACTAACATTTGTTTAAATGATTATTCTTAGCACAGTAATGAATCTTTCTAATCATATGATGTTATGATCTTAAAATGACCAGTAAGCTATTATACTTTAAATATGAAGGTACAGGATTATTCAAACTGATGGACACACTAACCTTCATGTATATTTTCTTGAATATACATTGAATATTAATAATATCTCTCATGCAAGAGAAAGGGAAAGGTCTAAAGTTTCAGAAACTAGCTCTACCAAAAACTGGCCGACCTGCAAAACCGTATCACAGCTGTAGTATACACTCACTTGCACAAGAGATGCTTCTTCATGTGGGAGGAGTTGCTACTTCTGAGATGTTTACCGAGCAGCAAACGATGGCCATTTCGAACATCTAGAACCTATAAGTTTGTAGACCTTCCTTTCTCTCTCTTTTATGTATATTATTAATATGTAATGTATATTCAAGAAAATATAAATGGAAGTGTATCCATCATTTTGAATAACACTGTATTTTATGGCATATGTTTGTTAAAGTTGGACAGTAATACTGTACATGACTGGCACTATGCCAAAGTCACAAAAGAGCTAAATCCTTGTTAGAAGTAAATGCTGTTCCAACATTGAGATCTCCTTGAGACTGTATAGGTGAATAAAGCTAAAGCTTCAGTTTAAGCTTTTTGGAGTCAGAATTCACATGTATGCCTGTGGCATATTGTAATGTGACAGATCACAGCCCAATGCTCAGTGCCAATGACATGAGCTTTCCAGTGTGCACAGGTTTCATTTGACATAGATAGGCCTGATTTCCTTGCTTTAATGTTTCAGATTTTGGCTGTGACCTGTAGTGTGTATGGAAGCATTACTCAAGTTTTACTGGAGTACTTGATCAGTTATAGCATGAAATTAGTCATGCTATTGCATGGCACTCAAGGAAATAAGAGCAAATAAATGTGAATCAGCTGACAAACTAGATGATGGATAAAATATATGGCTTATAGATGTCCCAGAGATAAATGTGACAGAATGGTCTTAATTACACCAGCTTTTTATCTCACATGGCTCAGTCTCTCTATCTCTCTCTCTCTCTCTGCCTGCCTGTCTGTCTGTAGAATGGCTGCCTGCAAAGAGGTCTCATATAGCATGAATTATGTAGACCCATTAGTGGTCCTCAGGAAACCATGAAAAATGTCACTCATAAACCAGACAGCACAGCCAAAATCTGAAGCCACAACTATCGGATTGCAGTTGAAACATCTCAGCCACATTGGAATGTGGATTCACACTCTGAAGATTATTAAAAAAGACGCAATGTTCTTGCTCTTTCATTGTTGTAAGAGTTTACTGAGAGAGCTCTGGATCACTGAGAAATCCTTGATCCGTGTATTAAGCGTGTTTGAACCTGGGGTGGTGATAGTTTTCATGTATTTCTTTGTTTGATTTGTCTTCTGGTATCAGTTTGCTTTGTTATTTGAGTACTAATTCTTCTGCAAATTATCCAGCAATAGAGTATCGGCAGCCCTCTGCAGATGTATGCCAATCCATCCTTTTCCGTTTTGTACAGCTTCTGCCCATTTAAATTATCTTTCACTAATCTGTGTGTGTTTGTCACTGTATTTCTTTAATTCTGTGAATCTGTGCAAGAACTGCCTAGTTATACAATTGTCAGGATTCTCAGTATTTGTCTTCTCCAGTGCAGTGCTCCCCCCCCCCCCCCCCCCCCATGACTGGATCCATTTGATTTTATTTAGTATTATTATTTAGTGATTCTCCCCTTGTGGGTTCTAAAGCCCATATTGGGGTGAGGGGGGGGGGGTGAGGATAGACCCAGCAAGCATGTCGTAAAAGGCGACTGATTAGAGAGGTGTTTCCTTCTGTCAGAGTGCATCTGCCTGGGGAAAGTAACCAACAGTCTGTATACAAATACACAAATCTGTAAAATGGAAATGCACAGGCCGTCTAAGTTCCGAAATAAGACCACAATTGAAAAGTTGACGAACAACCAAAACTTTCTAAGATGAGGAAGAAGATTTGAGATTTTATCCTAGCATCTCATTCCTTCTATTCTAAGCAGACACCAGTTTATAAATGTTGACAGTTTATTAGTAGTTTTAGGCTGTCTCCATACAACAGTACTGCATTCTTCATGTTTCTGCTCCATACAACAGTACTGCACTCTTTATGTTTCTGCTCCATACAACAGTACTGCACTCTTCATGTTTTTGTTCCATACAACAGTACTGCACTCTTCATATTTCTGCTCCATACAACAGTACTGCACTCTTCATGTTTCTGCTCCATACAACAGTACTGCACTCTTCATGTTTTTGTTCCATGCAACAGTACTGCACTCTCCATGTTTCTGCTCCATACAACAGTACTGCACTCTTCATGTTTCTGCTCCATACAACAGTACTGCACTCTTCATGTTTCTGCTCCATACAACAGTACTGCACTCTCCATGTTTCTGCTCCATACAACAGTACCGCACTCTCCATGTTTCTGCTCCATACAGCAGTACTGCACTCTTCATGTTTCTGCTCCATACAACAGTACTGCACTCTTCATGTTTCTGCTCCATTCAACAGTACTGCACTCTTCATGTTTTTGTTCCATACAACAGTACTGCACTCTCCATGTTTCTGATCCATACAACAGTACTGCACTCTTCATGAAGATCAACCTATAAAATGCATTAGAAAAGCACACAGATGATCTTTACTTCTTCCGCCAACTCTTAAATAACATAACTTGGGGAAGAGAAAAAGAGGAAGAATTATATTGTTAAAAAAGAGGGGGGAAAAAGCACTGTTATCTGATAGTATATTTTTGTTTGTTGACAGAAAAGCCTGTACGCCTAAAAACTGTCAATGACCCAGAAGCAAAAGAACATGTTAATTGATTGGTTGAACCCCATAGTATTCATGTGTGTAATTTTAAAGTTTATATAATTGTAAAACAAAGATTTTGAGTCAGAATCATGACAGAATTATGTTACTTTCAGTAACTGTGCATTTATCTCTTGGCGGGGGGGGGGGGGGGGGGGGGGGGGGGGGGGGGGGGGGGGGGGGGGGGGGGGGGGGGGGGGTATATAGTTAGTACACACAAGGAAAATTATTTAAAAGCTGCAGAGATATGGTTTTATAGACCAATGATGTAAATACCCTGGACAGATAAAAGGAGTAATATGGATGACTTGAAAAAAATAAAAATAAAACTGTCTCAAGAAGTAAACTGATTGCTCTGATCAGAAAGAGACATTCTGCATTCTCTGGACGTATGATGAGGAGAAAATTGGAGTACATCAGGACAGTAGGAAAATTGGAGGTCAGGAAAGGCAGAGGGAGGCTGAGAGAAAAGATGCTGGGCAGTTTGACATCATGACCTGAAGGATCATCTGTGTCAGTTGGTTGAAAGTACACGAGACAAAAAGTTGTGGATAGACATGACTACCAACATCCTACAGCATGGATTTTAAGAAGTACACACACAATTATTACTGCGGTTACATATTTTGGTCTCCATGCAGTTCGTGCTGAGGGATATATCATCAGTGAATAGACTATGCTTATGCTTCATCAAACTATCATAAAACAAGACTGTTGTATTCATTTTGCTAAAGAAAGAAAAAAGGAAAGATGATAAGTTTTCCATTTATTATTTCAGTCTTGCAAACATTTCAGATAAAATTTTCAATCAATCTCAACCAAATACTAATGAATATTCCAGAGGAATAATACCATATTTTATTAATTGCTTGCATGTAAATTGTGCCGAGATTTCTATTTTTATTTTTTTAGTTGCATTTCTGTATTGGTATATATTCACATATTTGTTGCTGTGTTTTACATGTGAGTGAAATATGTTGGTCCTTGTACATAAAGTTTCATTAAAGTTATTATTCTGCCTGAAGTTTTTCTGTTCTCTCATGCACATACATGTTACTTTTCCATATTTTTTTTTTTAATGCTGTCATAGTTTGAATTATTTTATGTAAAATTATATTTACCTGATCTACTGGATATCTTAGCCGATCTACTGGATATCTTAGCCAATCTACTGGATATCTTAGTATCAAGAACTGTTTTAATGTCCTTAAATTATCATTTGATATTTTTGCTACTTACAGAATTTAAAATGTATTCTAGAAACATTTTCCAGCGTCATGAAAACATACATTTTGTCTCTCTCTCTCCTCTCTGTCTGTCTGTCTGTCATCTTGATCCTCTGGTAAATTGTGGTGTCCAGATGAAATATAATTTACGGGAAATGCCTGTTTTTGCTCATCGGAAATAGGGATCCCCAGGGATTCTGTCATTTTCATGGTCGGTCTCTTCTTCATCTCCTACCTGGTCTGTACATTACTGCTGTATAGTGTCTACTTACATCTGCGTTATATGGCCAAACCATTTCACCTGTTGTCTGTTAATGAAATCCAGAGCTGCCGCTAACCCCATTCTACTTCGGATTTCACCCTTACTGATCGTATCTCTTATTGCTAAATT